GCACCGGAAAATGTTCATCAAATATGCAGTAGGTACTATCAAAACTTGTTTTTACAGCTAAACGTGTGAGTTTATAATATGGATATCAGGTGTGAGTTTTTTTACGAGTGCGGATACATTTTGAGACCAATAAACAATAAATTATTATTGAATTTCTCTGCCGTTGTAATGAACCTGAGACCAACCAATCAAATTGATCAACACAGTGAATTTAATGGGAGTTGTCAAGTTGTAGTGGCTATAGTAAACTGGCCTTAATAATTGTACTAGTGGAACACATCGATGTATATTTAGATTTGTAATCCATGATTATATTAAATCTGCATACTTTCCCATCCTTGTCTATTTTGTTTACTTTACCACGAGCATGTATTTTACTCCCTCTATACGTTTTTTTTTGTTATTATTCCTATTAGTGGAAAGAAAATTATATCTCTACGCCACTGAAGTGAGACGCTAATGATAACGGAAGTGGTGTGGTACTTTAATCACAGCCAGAGGCCACTTTTGGTTCCCGTGGTCTACGTCTGGCCAAGCATTTGATTCCCTCCATTAGTTTTCTAACTCAATGGTTCTAATACCTCCTACCTCAGTCGCGCTATCTGTGACGTGATAATGTTAGCGATATTCGGACGGGCGTTATCGTGAAAGAGGATCACGCCTTTCGTAAGCATCCCAAGACGTTTATTCTTTATGGCTGTACGCAAGCGAGTCAAAGTTTCACTGTATCGGACAGCATTGATGTTAACATGAGGGTCTTTAAATTCATGGTCCACGGTGATCGAAAAAGCAGGTAGTATCGGTGATCGATCTTGGACGCTCCAACGATATGACTGCTATTCGCCCTATGCTTTCAATACAAAATGAGTGGTCACGGATAGAGGGCGCTATAGTCGTGGGTATGTGAATCTCAGGGTAAACTAAAGTCGTATGAACACCACTCGGATCGCGTAAAGAGTAGCTTTTATGGTAACCGCGTAGTACGGGAAGCTTTAAATACTCTTCATTATACTTCCACAAATAAGGATGGGTTTGCTTTTTTGGCATATCTAGGCGATTAATTAATTGACGTTTGTTAATTTATAGGTTGACAGTCTCAAATCGTATCTAATCGGACAACTTCGGACAGACTCGTTTACCCTGAAATTCACATACCCAGGCGATGTCCTTGACCATATTTTCGTTACAATTAGCAGTCCATATACTATATGGTCTAAGACTCTAAGGTATTCTACGAATATCACCAGCAAACTGTCACAGTAGACATCTACATTACCGACGACCGTCTTATGTAACTTTCTGCGGTTATAGCAAAACTAACATTCGTGCTACAGGGTTCGAACGTGTATTTATTGAACATGCCTCGTATAAGGAAACCTACTGCCTTCCAAATTCAAAAAGATATATGGAAAACCGGTATAATAAGTGTAAAATATGGTGCAAGAATAAATATGTACAATACAAGTAACCATTAATAATTAAATTGTGTTTGACAATTCAGTGTGTACTGTCACTTTTTGTTCCGCGTCGCGTTTTCTCCCTCCGGGAAAAAAACTTGTGCCTTAAAAGAATGACAAAACACGTTGATTTAGTCATATATCATTGACCTACTTTCAACGAATACGCTTCTTTCAAATATAAAACCAAACCATGGCATCCACGAAGCCTATTTTGTAATTTTCTCCTTTCACCATTGTATCATTTTGTAATTTGCTCCTTTCACCATTGTATTATTACAATGGTGAAAGGAGCAAATTACAATTAGGCTTTATCACATGTTATCAAGAGATGATGATATTACGAATTGATTGTAAAAAACCAGCACCTCATTGGATTAAAAGATGTTATCTACTTGGTATTTTATTTGAGTAGAGGATCAACGCCCCAGATCTTTCCTGAAAGAATTTGCAACAATAAGAGTGTAAATTATTCATTTGCTATAATACTCGATCTCAGGGAGTGCTGCATTTAGCCTTTGAATTTAATTATGGTCAGTGGCGTAGCCTGTGATGGGAAAGGTGGCGACTCGGTTAAAAAATCTTTTGGCAGGCTCACTACCGGATCAATTAATGAATCATTTTGTACACTTACAAATAGTAACACAAATTATGATAGCTTATTGCACTTTTATAATAATAATTGTAGGGATCTGAAACATAGATTTAACTTTGTGGCTACCACGGAATCAGAAGTACTTAATTGTTTATATAAATTAAAATCGAAATCTGTGGGGGAAGATCTGATTAGTCTCAACATGCTACATTTGCGCCTTCCATATCTATCTGACGTAATAACGCATATTATTAATCGATGTATTAGTACTTGTACTTTTCCTGATGCCTGGAAAAAAGCCAAAATCATACCTCTACCAAAAATTAAACACCCGAAAGAATATTCTGATCTGCGACCCATAAGTATATTGCCCTGTTTGTCGAAGGTTCTGGAAAGGATCATGGCTGGGCAAATAAAAATTATTTGAATAGCGAAAGCATTTTACCATCTTTACAGTCGGGATTTAGGGCAAATCATAGTTGCACGACAGCTCTTTTACAAGTTACAGATTCAATTTTTTCCGCTATTGATAGTAAAAATATCTTAGTTCTCGTTTTGTTGGATTACTCCAGAGCCTTTGACAGAATTAATCACGATATACTTTTCGCAATTCTAAATTATAGTGGTTTTGGTAGTTCAGCAGCTAAATTTATCTCAAGTTACATTAGCAATAGATCTCAACGTGTAGTTTTTAATAAATGTGTGTCCAAATCTATAGCAGTACGTACAGGTGTCCCTCAAGGATCAGTGTTAGGACCCCTATTATATATTTTATACACTTCAAATTTTCATAAATGTCTAAAGCACTGTACATATCACATGTATGCTGATGATACGCAACTCTTATATAAAACATCTGATGCATGCCTAGATATGGACACCGTGAATATGCATCTCAGCGTTGATTTATCTAACATTCTGCAAACCTCTGAAAAGCATGGACTACAGCTCAATTGTAGAAAATCAGCTGTTATGTTATTCGGTAGATCGTTAATTGTTGACAAGTACAAGCATGCATTAATGGTTAGGTTAAAAGATACGGTATTACCAATCGTTGATAAGTATAAAAACCTTGGTTTAATGTTAGACTCTAAGCTACGCTTCAAAAAACACATTGATCTAGTTGTAAACAAAGCTTTTATTAATCTTAAGATTATATTTAATAGTAGGTTCATTATCAATCGTAACATTAAGATAATGTTATGTGAAGCATTGGTACTGTCGCAATTTAACTACTGTAACTGTGTGTATGGTCCATGTATTGACCAAAGAGATTCCTTGAGAATTCAAAAGATGCAGAACTCTTGCCTTCGCCTAATATTTGGAATACGTAAATACGACCGAGTGACACATAAGCTAACGAACTTGAATTGGCTAAACATGTGTAATAGGAGATTGTTGCATTCCGCTTGTTTGTTCCATACCATACTGCAAACCAGAACACCTACATATTTATTTGAAAAAGTAATCTTTAGGAGCTCCGTTCACGATTTAAATATTAGAGATAAGCTTTCAATAACGATACCCCACCATAAAACGACACTTTTTAAACGTTCCTTCAGTTATAATATAGCCAACCTCTACAATGAATTGCCAACTGATTTAAAACAATTATCTTCTTATGCATTCAAAAAGAAATTGTACCTCATACTCCTTGAAAGACAGAAACATGCTTAGCAACACCATTCTTTCTTTACTTTTTTATAAATTTTTGTACTTTAGCTATAGATAGCAGTCTGCGCTTTTGCTTTTCACTCTTAGTTATAGTTATCTCTTTCTCTCTCTCATTACCGGGTCTTTAATAACAGCTGTTCTTGTCACTGTAATTAATACATATTGTTGAAGGGTTGAGTGGTAGAGCAGACGGGGTTATCTTGGTAGCTCCAGTCTGAACTCCGCCCTATTGAGTTATTCTTTTTTTTTATAAATGGGTTAAAATATTGTCTTACTTAATTAAAACTCAATAAATGTGATTATTATTATTATTATTATTATTATTATTATTATTATGGTCGGTGTTTCTTGTGAGAACTCAGGTCTAGCCTGGTTAACTAATCGCACGGATTAAAATCAAGTAACGATTAGTGTCTGTGAGGATGAAGGAGTTTTGTGTTTTTTAATTGTATTTATTAATTATTATTATTATTATTATTATTATTATTATTATGTAGATTAAACAGGTTGCTCGGAGGATGCACTCTCGAATGCTGCAAAGTGTTTCTGCCAGGAAGATTGTAGACTTTTTCAAAGATATGAACTTTATCGCATGAGGGTGGAATAGGGCTAATCTCTCCATACATGAATCCAACCCCACCTCAGAGAACTGCAATAATGATATAGGCCCCAATGAAACATACACAAAGGTAGATTCCTGCACAGAAAGTACACTGACACAAGGAAATTAAATTTATGTGATAATGATGGAAAAAAGAAAAACTGCAATTATGATTTCATGCATACGTTAGTAATAAGGACTTTCACAACTCAATTTATAAACCAAAGTAGTGGAAATTCTGTTACCAGAAAACCGAGTTGTGACCGGCATCTGCCTCTGTAATTGTTACATGATTGATATACTTACCGGAAGTGACGAGAACTTCAGTAATTCATCATCCCAGCCTCAAGTTTATTTACAGTTGCCCTATTCAAATTGAGGTTTATTTCCGGAAAATTGTGATGTAAACATTATGCAAACTATTCACGTTAAATAAGATCATATTTTCTTGAATACCTAGCGATAAATCAATTTTTTCCCAAATTTCCCACCAACTTAAGACGTCAGCATCGTAGGTGGCAAACTAATGATGGTGATACAATTACCATAAGAACTTCTATAGACATTAACGATTTTTTTTGTTTAGTTTACGCTTCGGTTGTGACAATTCCCCAGTTTAACCGCATGGAATGAAATGCTTTAATTAAGTTAGCTTATTTAAAATGAACAGCATGCGGATTTCCCAAGGCAGACAAGATAAATAGCGGTACCGTGAAACACGCTCGAGAGTACGAGACTCAAAATTTGTGATGGTCGTGTCAGGTCTCATTATCGTGTTTGTCTGCCCTATAAACTTGAGATAAATATTTTGCGCTACTGGTATTTGTGACCAAGTGCGTTGTAACCACCACAGTGCATAGTTATCGCAAGAAAAATGACGAATTACACAGGATTACTGCTTTGTGTTATTGTTGCAAGTGTGGGACATGCACGTAAGTTTCTGTTGACAAACCTTGCACAATAATTAGACTAGCCCAAAAGTAGAAATTAGACCAGTAGTTGATTCTACAGGGCCACTGATTCCTGACCTTTGAAGTTTGTTTTTTGTCATTGACTTTGATTAGTTAAAACAGTGCGTGTTTGATGAAATATAATTATGTATAATTTACTACTATGTTAAATTATTTCTCTTATAAGTTGCTACCAAGCGTACTTCTGCAATTTGCCATTAGCCTTCCTTTGTAGAACATCTGACAGCCAAACAATACGACAGTTGCTACACTCCCGCTGGAGATCCTGGACAATGTATATCTATCCGAAATTGTTTAGAGCTAGTAAGGGTTCTTCAACGTAGACCGTTAACAAACGAGGGTGCCGCGTATCTGAGAAGCGCGCATTGTGGCTTTGAAGGTCTTGACGCGAAAGTTTGCTGTTCTTTGAACGATCATGATTTGACGCCAACTACTGTGCGAGATAAAGAAACGACTACAGAAGGTACGCAAAAGATATTAAAGACTATGCTAATTCCATGTTTTTAGTTCCCCTATCTTCCCTATTACCCGACAAGTATGACTGTGGGCAATCATCTGCAGATAAAATTGTCGGCGGAGAAGTCGCGGATTTGTTTGATTTTCCTTGGATGGCTCTAATTGAGTACAAAAGACGTAAGTTTTGTTTTGGTTAAGTTAAAGGACAAATGCATTAATTATGTATGCTTCTACCAACCTTGAGCATTAAATTAGCGTATTTGTTCTATATGATAGCTACTGTGTTAAACCACAACGTTTGGTTTCAGCTGATGGATATGGTTTTTATTGTGGTGGTTCCTTGATTAGTCAGAGATATGTTTTGACTGCCGCCCATTGCTTGAAAGGAAATGACTTGCCAAGCGGTTTTGAGGTGTAAGTAGATATTATGCTTCATCCGTACTTTACATATCCAAATGCACTAAAAATAGAACTTGAGGGAAATCCGTGTGGGTTTAATGTATAATAACGAACAACTGCACTGTTTTAAAAGCTTATCGTTACCCTTCATAAAAGCTCAATGTACAGATTGAGGTCTCAAAATCCTTCCAAATTTAGTTACGCTCCTATCTGTAAATAACCACAGTAGTTGATTTGTAAATTCAAAGGTGGAAACGGTCAGGATGTTCTAACCTTGTGTCAGCATGTATTCTATGTTCGTGACCTGTTGAACGATCTGGTTTGCTACCTCACGATCCCTTGTCGAATGCCAGATGACAATATTCTATTCTATTCGTCGGGGCAACCTGACCATTGTGCTTACACCGTTCCTCTCAATAAAGCCTCCCCAGTTCCAGATAACTGTTGCCAAGGAGCTGATGTCGGACTTTGGTTAAAGCGTTACAGCGACAGACCACATGCTCGGTAGTTTCATCTGCCTCGGCACAGAACCTGTACATGGACTCTCCTGTAAGCCCAATGTTGTACAGGTGATAGTTGACCATCTACTGCCCCGTGAGGACACCGGAGGTCTTCCTAATCTGGATTCTATTCAGTTTTAGAAGCTTAGAAGATCCAGATTTGCCAAGGGGCTTTGTTTAAAAAAAACCTGGACTGTCTAAGTCAAGTTCTTGTTGCCACTGATCCTGGAATTGACTGGGTGATCCATTCTTTAATCCCTGGACCTGACAAGACAGAGGGGGCAAACCTAGAGTAGGCTCGGGTCCGACGAAGACCCCCTTACTGACTTCGCGAGCCAGCTCGTCCACCCGCTCTCGACCCTATCCCCCATCCTTTCTCCATTCAATTCTCTTTTTTGCTATGTTAGATATTTTTTATTATGTTGGGCGGTGTTTATGTATTTGTCTATGCCTGAACACTTATAATCATCGGTCCTCCGCTTCAAACCACTTGATAGAAAATTACGAGAAAATATCTCAACTTCAAAATGGTCACATTTACAGAGTGAGTTTTTTCCTATGTGCAGTATGGGGATCTCGTAAACCGTAAGAGATACAAAGTCGCTTAAATGGGCAAAGAGTTGCAGAATTTTATGTAGATTAAGTTTCCCTTTCAGAGTTTCTTGTCGTTCTACAAACAACGAAGTTGTCACAAAACCGAAAGATGTCATTTTCAAAAATGAGCTGGCGTTCATTGTTTTTCAAAGATACCAAAACGTAGTTTCAACAGACCCTTAGTCCTTTCGGACCGTGCCAAAATAAAATTTTTATAACTTGCGAGTTTCGAGTAAATTACAACTTTCTTATTTCTTATGGACGCTATATTGGCTTTTGATGTCCTTCGATAGATTGCAAAATAAGCGATACTAAACACTTAGTATTTCATTTGGGAGTCAATAATTCCATGGCCGTGTCGATGGTGACTATGCGAGACAATAAACAAATGAATTTAGTTTCAGTCGCAATCTGCCATGAAATACATTGTAAACTTCGAGGCATAAATGCAAGGTTGACTCTCAAATAAAATACTAAGTATCGATGATTTTGTAATTTTTTCTCTATCGAATGACGTCCATAAGAAACAAGAAAGTTGATGTGATTTACTCGAAACCCACAAGTGATAAAAATTTTATTATAGCACCATCAGAAAGCTGAGAAAAAATTACTAAGGGTTTGTTCAAAGTATTTTTTGATATCTTAGAAAATAAATTAACACCAACCAATTTTCCAAAATCACTGTAAAGTTCTTTTCATTTGACCACATGATGGTTCCGAGTATCAACCTATTCTCATAAAAGAACCTATGGTTTGTCATCGAAACTATATATCTTCGTGCAAAATTGTGGGCCACGTATTATGCGATGTCTGTGATAATAACAAATAGAGACGTTATCACTCATACTGATTTACCCACCAGGTTGTTTAGATAATTTGCGAATTAATTTCTTTGGCCTACGCTCTCTGATATCTTCGACAACTTCCATTAGCATATTTTTCGTTGACTTGTAGTAAGCACATGCGAGTCGAATATGAGCATCTTCTAAACGTGTGCACCTTTAAAAACAAATGCATGAAAATCCACCCCCCCCACCCCACCCCTTTAAAGCCAAAAAGTAAGGTTACATATAGTCCTTACAAAGTATTTTGTCTTTATTGTACTCACCTTAAGGGCAAAATTTAAGCTGTCTGTAGTTATTTTGGATCACTCCGTATATTCCTTGTAATAATAGCAAATTAAAGTTAATTCTAGGTCCAATTCATGTACTGAGGTTGTGAGAAGGTATACTGAAAATTGTTATTATCCTCTTTACTAACAATTCACAATCTTAGTACTAAATTCAAAAAGGCGATCAATACAAAATGCTAGATCTGGTATAATGAATGGTTTCTTTTATTTGAAGCTGAAATACGATCACTCAAAAATTCCGACGACAAATTACAATATCATATCAAAATTATTTGCACACAATAAGCCGCTTCAGACGTGTGACGATGAATTTCAGTCAATTCTTCTAGTTTTCGAGTCACAGAATTTAATTTCCGATATTGTTCGTATTTATCGTAATAGTTTCTAATTTGCAAGTTATGCCTTGAATATGAAACTCAACAAAACCTTAATTCACGGGTTTATACTTCCGCTACTTAAATCTCGGCACTGTAGGTGCACGCAATTTCTGCAAAAATAATCATTTGCGGGTGGTTAACTTAACCGTCTCACTTCTGGGCGCAAATTTGAATAACACAAAAATAAAGTCTACCCTGCGGTAAATTACATGTTGTTGACTTAAGTGCGCTCACGGCTCAACACGAATTTTGTGACAATTCCCCGCGGGTTCTCATGCTCTCGCGGTTCGACGCGAAGTTTCTCGCAGTTCGTTATTAATTCTTTCGCAGCTCGATGCTAATTCACTCGCTATTCTCCCCGAACTTCCCACAATTTTACCTTTTTTACACCCATCTCGTGACGTAAATCTTTTCCATCAATAAAACTATTTCTATTTACTCAATCAGATTTCTTAACAGTCATACATCGACTCATCTACTACGCAACAGGCTCAATAACCACGAGTCTTCCCACGACTGAAAAATAAACAAATCTCAACGTACGATCGCTGTTGGGTTAGGAATCTTCTACGCTTATTGTATCTAAACTCATACGTTTTGTGAAATAGTTACTTCTCAGCGAAAGCAGTCCAATTTCGTAGCATGGTAATTCCTATACCCCCAAACAAATTCAGGATTATTGACCATATCATGACTACTTGCGGAAATGTTGCTCAGCAACTCTACATGATGCAACTGTAAACATTTATTGGGTTCGATACGCCTTTTCGTAATTAAATAAAGAAAATAAAAAATAATAATAAAAATAAATAAATAACGAAACGTTGGCGGATTAAGATTTTCGCGAACAATGTACCAAAATCATCATCATCTCCATTTCAGTTTAAACTAAAACTTATTCCATTTCAGTGTAAGTGTCCGCCTTGGTGAATATGATTTGGAAACAGATGTCGACTGCGTCAACACACCCCAATACAAGACATGCTCAGAACCACCCATCGATGTCGCTGTTGTAGAGAAGATTGCACACGAGTATTACAATCCTTTCGATCCGAATCAATCCAACGACATTGCACTCCTTAGGTTGGCCCGAGATGTTCCCTACACAGGTACCTATTTAACCATGTTGTCTCTCAAATGTAAGCTGAATACAATTTTAGAATTTATCAAGCCGATTTGCTTACCCGTTTATCCGAATCTTCTAAAACAGACATTCGCGGGGACCAACGCTACTGTGGCTGGTTGGGGAAAAACTTCAGAAACTGGCACTGATAGCAGCGTTAAAATGAAAGTTACTGTAAGTAGTGTCTGGTTTTAGGCGGAATGTTGAAGGGTTTTCTTTACAGTTACCGGTGCAATCAAATCGGGATTGCGAAAACGTATACGGCGGCACACGTGTATCGCTGAGTAAGCTGCAAGTTTGTGCGGGTGGTGTAAACGGTAAAGATTCCTGTCGCGGTGATAGTGGTGGTCCTTTAATGAGCCTGTACACTGCGCCAGGTGAAATAAACTGGTACGTTATGGGAGTCGTTTCCTTTGGACCTGCGAAATGTGGACTAAATGGGTGGCCTGGTATATACACAAGAGTAACAGAATACATTCCATGGATACTCAAAAATATGAGGCCATAATGTAAAACGTATAGTTTGATTTAATGACATTGTGATTTTTGTTTAATAGTATTTAACTTAATTATGTTTTATTAGATAGTAAATAGTCTATTTATTTTTTTGAAAAGTGGTTAAATAAAGCCTTTGAAAAAATCGCTGTTCTTGATGATTACCACTCGGATAAGTAACAAGTTTGCATTAAAGTGTAATAAATGACAGTTGAAATCCGAAGAATACAGTAGAGTAAACTTATTACAAATTTAAATATTGCCATCCTCATTTTTCGAAAATCTTAAAATCTTAAATTAGATCTAACTGTATACCGTAATTCTAAAACGCCAAACGAAAAAAGAGTTGCCAACCTCGTATACAAAAGTACTGTAATTTGTTATCTAATGCAGACATTTTTTTGTGCTATTTTCATAAAAAATACCGTAGGAGTCTTCTTCGAAGTACACCTAGCAGAACCTTGCAATTTTCTTCTAAAGTAACATTTTAAAAATAGTCCTAGAGCTCTTGAATACCGTCTACGGGATTTAAGAAATGTCAGTAATATTTTCTCAAAAATTAAAGGTCCTCCTAGAAATCTATTTTGATAATATTTTGAGTCTGAAATACCTTAGACATTTCGGTAGGAACCTTTTTATAAATATTCGTGGGAATTTTAAGAATCATTTCTCATGTTCTGGAATATCCAATCAAAAATAGTCTTCCTAAAAAGTCTTCCTAATAAACTTATTTTTTTAGTTAGTAGAGCTCCAGATTAAAATAAAGTTTGATGAGAATTACGCAAGGAAATGGAATGTTTTCAATGGAGAAGATCATGTCTCCCAAAAATTGCACCACAATTAGACTACAAACATTTTCTAAGTTTTCCAGTTTTTGGAAAAATTTCTTCGGAGTTTTTTGGGAACTTTGTACTTTATTTTTGGCCTGGTTCGAGTTCTAGTTGGAGTTCCGGATAGTCTTAGTAATTCTAAAAGCTTCTCTAAAATGCTTTTAGCTGACACCTTATAATAAAAACCGCTTCAACAGTTCTAGTAGTAATGATAGTAATGATTTGTTTAGCCTTATATTCAAAAGTTTTTTTTATATTCCAAAGTGCGAAGCAATATTTAGAGTCATTGTGTGTAATGGTGTGTTAATTTCCTTACGGTGGGTTGTAGGTTAGAAGCTTTTCTATCTCTGAAGATTCACCTGTATTTTTTGTGACTTCGAAGGTTGAGTTATATCTCGAATTACACTTATTCCTTTATGAGGATCTAATTGGGAAATTTAACACGTGGTACCCAATCTGCCATTTGGGGTAGGTGCCATTTAGATTTGGAGATGGGCGTTCTATGTAGTCTCTTTATAGGGTTTTTTTTGGTACCCTTGCCGAAAAATAAATCTCAGTTCGAGGGTACAATAACTACAAGGGCTTGTACCTCTGCAAATTACCGTCGTAATTAGGAGCTGTACCTGTTCGCTCTTATCAGTTAGAGAACGACCATCTCGTAAGCCCGCCTCGACTTCAACTGACATATGGCCACTTGGGAATTAGATAAGATTTGGGATAACAGGATTTAATCAACCAGGGGATACTTTTCTCTTCTATTTTGTTGTAAAGTGTATCGTTTATCACCTCTTAAAGGGGATAAATACTTGATTTTTGATCGTGTTACCAATGGTTGGTGTACGTACGTTGTCTTCCTTTAGAAGTAGTGTACGAGTGAATTATTGTAATCGGATATTGAATCGTAGAGTACAAGTAGAGGTCTTGGTTGGCCTCTCAGGCAGTCATTATTTAATCACTGAGTTTCCTTTCTTTTCTGATCTGCCTTCGGTGACAGTTGCATTGTGGAGAGCTGCACATTTACCCACAGGTAAGATTTTTATTTTTTTATGATTGCACATTTAATCAATAATTTTGAATATCGGGGAGTATTTTTATATTTGTGGAGGGGCAATTTTACTTGGAATAAAGTTCTGCTAACTAATGGTGTTAAACAAGTGCCTCTATTACAACGACGGCAGATGTGTACGTGGAGAGCAGTGTTTGTATTCAAACAGAAAAAATAAGATGATAAGAAGGTCAAAACAAAAAATAAGGTGCATTCTGCCTACGTATTTCTTTTAATAAATATTTAATTTACAAAGTATATCACTCCAATTAGCGGCTCCCGTTCCCAGGGTGTGTTTTTGTAATAAATGGCGACCGTGACAGGACGGTGGCGGTGTACAACGAAAGGAGAACGAGATTGTGAAATCTGTCTGGTGGAAGATGACGGAAGCACTAAAGAAACGACGTACTGTGGCCCGCGGTGCTTTTACTCGGGCATTTACTGCATTTATGGAGACTGTTCAACCAGAACCACTTTAGACATTAAGCGCAGTGCGTTTCAATTACTGGAAATACGGCTCAAAGAATTAGACATCACTCAAGAGAATTATCCAAAAGAATGTTTCAAAGTCACACTCATTAGTCTAACAGAAGATCAAATATATTGTGCTAGTGTTAGTGTTAGTGAGTGCTGCAAAAACTTATCGATGGTATAGTAATATTTGAAAAACACTATCGAGTTTGTTCTAGTTTACGAAGAAATCGTCATTAACTTGGATAGTAAGGAAATGGGATTCCCGTCGCTGTTATCAGGTTTTGATAACCCTAGAACTACCGCCAATATTTGGTGGAACTTGTATTTGTAAACATCAGGGCAATGACAAATTACATAGTATCATTGCTTTGCGCGATTGTTGCATGTGTATATGCAGGTAAGTTATGACTATTGGACATTGGTATTGACGGATGGATGTCAAATTTTACAAATAGGAATTACCGTTAAAAATTTTAATGGTTTTTCTACAACTGCTATAATGTCTTAGATACAATTACAGCAGCACACGCAATATCATTTTCGGCGCATTAAAATATCTCTCTCTGACGCAAAATGCGGCTTTGAATTTAGCGCTAATTATTTGCAAAAGTTAAATGTTTACGAGTTTATTTTTAGAATATACAACACCTAAACAATATGAGAGTTGCGTCACTCCTGCGAAGACCCCTGGACACTGTATACCTTTTCGAGATTGTTCGGAGCTGATAAGAGTGTTTAAAACTCATCCATCAAGCCTAACAGACGCATACTTAGGAAATGCTCATTGTGGTTTACAGGGTGTGGAAGAAAAGGTTTGTTGTTCTCTAGAAGGTAACGATTTCGATTTAGTTTTTGCACCAGATACCAAAACGAACGATGGTGAGTAAACGCATTAAAAAAAATTGACCTTATTCAGTTTTTAGACACAACTTGGTTGCTACCTGAGAAAGACTTTTGTGGAAAACCGGCTGATTACAGTCACGGCGAATCACTAGATGAATTATATGAATTTCCTTGGACAGCACTTCTTAAATTTGAGAAGCGTAAGTTCCGATTTGGAACCATTGACTGGGCTATCACACTCTTATATTACCTATGTTGCAGATGCAATATCGGTTTTTCATTGTGCTGGTTCCCTTATTAGCGATAGATATGTTTTGACAACCGCACGCTGTTTGAAGCCGAGGTACTTGCCAATTGACGGGGAGTTGTAAGTAGTGATCTTTTCTTAAAATAGTAGTGTTGTTATTTTTCCCAAATTGGCGGGAGCCAAAGTAAGATGTGTATCAGGTGTCCCAACGAAAACTACTTACTACGACAAACAATTATCGCCCAATGCCGGAGGATGACACCAGAGGTCTTCAGAATTTTAAGTCTGGGTTTGGATCAAGATTGTATGGAAGCTAGTGGAGGTCATTTCGAGCAATCGATTCGTTAGTTTAAAATTTATATTACCGGATTTCAGAGGGAGTAAAAATTTGCGTTGGAACACCGTGTACCACAAAAAGTCAGATAATCTAATGCTACAATAAAACCACTCATTCCATTGCTCATATCATATCTATTTCAAAATGTCTTTGCAAGATTAAGTAGTTTTCCGTAACGATAACGTCAAAGTGTGATGTGATGTTATGCACAAGAGGCTTGAGAAATTGTTGTTGAGAAAAATTGGATTGAGTGTTCAAAATATAATAAATGCAAGTACACATATAACATTGTAGTGTATAGAACATAAGTATTTTGTACCTACATTACGTCTATGGGCCTGTCTCTTTCGCAGAGTGGGTGTCCGTCTCGGTGAATACAATTTGAACAAAGAAATCGATTGTGCCGGTACACCTCGGTACAGGACATGTTCCGAAAAAGCTATCGACGTACCAGTCGTAGAAACAATCGCGCATGAAGATTACAACCCTATGAACAATTTCAACGACATAGCGCTCCTAAGGCTGGAAAAAGATGTCGGCTTTACAGGTGACCATCTGAAGAGACTTGATTAATACCTAGTAATGTAAACAATTTTAAGATTTTGTCAAACCCATATGCTTACCAATTTATCCGGACGTGGTAAACACATCATTCTCGTGGAGCTATCTCACCGTGTCAGGTTGGGAAACCTCAAACCGGAGCATTAAACGAAAAGCTAATGTGAATATTGAGTACCTAGCATGTTTTTGACCACTGATACAGTTTTTGTTTTTAGCTGTTCATATTACCACATTGTGACGATGCGATTAAATTATCGGGTCTGCCAGCGAATATGTTACAACAACTTTGTGCATATTCTGCAAATCGTAGCGATTTTTGTAGGGGCGATGGTGGTACTCCTCTAATGTACTTTCATCTTAGTGAAAGGTATTGGTCACTCATTGGAATGATGTCTTTTGAACATTCAACTTGCGGCCCCGATGTGTACACGCGAGTAACAAATTACGTTCCATGGATACTGAAACACATCAAACCCTGATGTTTATACATTTTGTACATTTTTCCGATGTATACTTACTTCTGAATAAAAGGTTTCTAAAGGGCAGCTCTATGGGCCCTATCAGGTAACAAATTACCACTAGTACATCTTGTACATAACAAACTACTTTGCACAAAGACCTATAGGCCGTGCTACTTCACTTCGTCGTCGTCGAAATGTCCCTTGAAGAGGAAACTATTCAAAAATCACAAACATAATTGACCCAATGAGCTAGTAGCCCTAATTTACGGAGCGCTGTCATTGCAGGTTAGCCAAGACTCAAATTTGCTTTGGCGTTCACCATCCACACAAAATGGTAGTCGTTTGGCAGATCAGGTGTCCTGATAAGAAAGTGATGTTGTTAAGCCTTGTAATTATAGTGAATGTAGAGTTGAATTTGAAATTTACACTCGAACTTGAAATTAACATGTGAATATAACAAATGAAATGAAAAAACCAACATAGCTTTAATTTAATTAATGAGAGGACTATTTACAAAATAATAATATTACAGAAACGATTAAACAAAAAAAAACAAAATTCCGTTGCGCAAGAGTTATGCGCGTTTACAAGATCTTTCCGACGGCACAAATTTGAAAGCAATCGGACGAAAACTGTAGCAGAAGATAGGAAAAACTTACCACGTCAGTAAACCCACGCTCGGAGATGGCGCCCAAATGTTGCCGACCCCACATCATGTAGCCCTGTCTCCAAAGTTGTTAATTACACGGTCCCGGTAGGTACATGTACACTCCTCGTCTTTCTACAAGCGTTCTACGATTCCTCATTTGCTGCCAGCCAGTCAGCCGGACAAAGTAAGATCAAAAGCTAGCTTTTTAAAAATAAATTTGCAAAAATGTGATAAAAAGTTCTGGGGCAGCATTTGGACAAAGGAATAGGAAAACCTCATTTTATTGACAGAATTATAAATACAAACGAATGTTTAGAAATTTTAAAAGAATCACATTTATACCAGGAAAAATATCGGATAGAACAGGAACTTCAACAAGCCGACGGGGCGCCACATGCAAACCGCACAAAAAGCTATGAAATGAATGAAAGACCACTGTGTGCCATTTTTAAAATGAATTTTAGATGAAAAAGGTACTGCGGATACATTCTGAAAGAACTATAGGTACCCGACTTGAAGCAAAAACTTAAAGAGAATTGGCATTAATTTACCACAAAAATCTACGGGCTGTAATAAAAAATATACAATTGTGAACTTTAAAATTATGTTTGCCGTTTCCTACGGATTTCTATTTCTTGTAGAAGTTTGAAGTTACCGTTTATATTTTATACAGGGTGAGTTTTTTTTTCATTTTCACTCTAAGGAACTCAAAAAATAAGTTTAACCAACCATAGGTAAGTGATTTTTTCAGCTTTCTCATTGTTGTAAAATAACATTTTTATGACTTCTGGTTTCGAATTTTCGCGTAATATTAACTTTCTTATTTCTTGTGGAGGCCATATTGGATTTTTACGTCACTCGATAGAAAAAAATTACAAAACCAGTGATACTAAACACTTGGTATTTCATGTGGATATCAACTTTGAATTTTTGCCTTGAAGTACATATTTCTTATGGCAATAATTCCGTGGCCGTGTTGATGGTGACTATATGAGAGACAATAAACGAACATTTTAAAATAATTTCAAGCCAGCTTTGGAATTATTTCCAATAGATTGGTAGGTAGGTTGATTACCAGAGGAAATATTAAGTGTTTTGTAATTCTATCGAGCAACATAAAAATCCAATATGGCGTCCATAAGAATTACGAAAGTTGATGTGATTTACTCGAAACCCACAAGTTTATTTTAGTACCATCAGAAACCTGAGAGAATATAACTAAGACTTTCTTAAAATTATTTTTGGATATCATTCACTCTTATATTACCTATGTTGCAGATTCATTAAAGTGGTGGTACTCTTTTTGAACTGCCCTATATATACAGTACATAGTGTATAGGTGCATGGAATGGATGTAAGAGTGTATGTAAGTTTCTAATGTGTAGTATACGAAATATATACCGGTCATATAGATCATCATGCTCCGATTTGTGCTTTCAGAATTTTTCGGAAAAAAATTGTGATTGTTTTAGCGCATTTTCCAACTCATGTTGGTGTACGTATTGTGTTTTTTTTTCGTCCTGCCTGAAGATGAGGTCATAAAGTGTAATTTAGAGGCATGATACCATTACCTACACCCATGCGTAATGAAAAAAATAGACCATGTGCTTTGGAAGTGATAATTATCTACAAATGTCAAAACTGTCAACAAACGTCGTTTTGAGTTTGCCTTATTAACGAACGACAAAAAGCGAGTCCGTCCGTCCTTCTCCTTGACTACTCATACAGTTTTCAAGATATTTAGTTCGTTCGGTTTTCATTCGGTAGTTAATAACCCTGGCACCTCAACCAAGAAAAATCTTGACGATTAATGTGCGCATACGCAATTTCTTATTTATGGAAGTATTTCTTTCAAATTTTAACCACAGATGCTTCTAGTAAAGACGAGCATATCGCATGCTGTAAAAATCAGACGTGGCAACTTGTTTATATATAGAGATTTTTTGAAATTTTAACCACAGATTCTTGTAGTAGCAGACTACGCAATGCTAGATTTCTAATTTATAAGAATATTTGTGCCATAACTTATTTTCCTTTGTACACAAAGATAATCCGTTATATGACCTTTCGGGAATGATTGATCAATTAATGGAAAATGCGCTAAAGTTACTCGCCTTAAGGCGAAAACGTTTTTCTCATTTTTTAATCATAACTCCTTTATTTTTTATGATGGAAAGTTCTAGGTTTTTACAATCTACCAGGCAATTTACATCCCGTCTAAAACTCCTAAAATGGGGTGAGCAGAAAGGGCTAAAATAAGGTAGTACTCGCATATAAATACACGTTTTAAACGTCTATGGGTATTTCACTAAATTTGTGTCGTACAGAAAATTCCCGGCGAGGAAAATGTTTGGAATTAAAAAAGCTATAATTGGATGCTGCATCATTTTTTACGCCTCTTCAGTTGTTTTGTAGGTATTTTGAAGAGGGGGGGCGTTTTTTACAAAATTGCAGAAATTCGTTTTTCAGTTTTAGCGTCAATTATTTCAAAATTAAGTCGTCTAACCTGGTCACACTTCTAGAATGAATTAATAATACGTAATTAGGAAAAACTGGAAAAGGGGAAGGACTAATTTTAATAAGGGTGGTAATTGGGGGTTGCCTGCGCTGATTTTTTTCGATAAAAAAAGGACGTATCTACCTTATATTTTCATCGTAACTCACTCAATTTTTATGCTAGTTTGTTTAAAAAAAAAAGAAGCAAATGTTTTTTTAAATACTTTAAAGAATATTCTAGTTTTTATCGGAAAATGCATAATTTTGCCGTTAGTTGACTGTGCAAACTCGCATATTTATCGTTTGACGACAAGAGCTAACCATTAAAAAGCCACAACTCTGTTCGTATTGGTCATAAGTACAGCAATTATTTAAAAAAACATTTTCTTTGATTTTTTTTAAAGCTACGATTTTGTTCTGGGGAAGCTTTTTTAATAAAATGCATACTTTTTGAGTTTTTCGGGAATAATCAATTAAAAACATTGATCTTTAATATGCAAAACTCAACTTTCGGTCGCGAATAACTAGAGAAGTAGTTATTAACGTATGTATAGAGCGCGTTTTGCTTAGAATTAATTGTTCATCTATTTCTGTGTTAAAATTACGAGTACAATAATAAATTGCCACCCTCGAGTTGGGGTGGCAACCACACCCAGGGTGAAAGCGCCCTTTGGCGTGACATAGATTCTTTTGTCTACTTTCTGTCAAAATTTTAAGTTAATCCTTCCTTGATATCAAATGATTCCATAAGGATTGACGGTCCAATTATTTATATCTGAAAAACAACAATCATAACCATTTGTGGTACCAAAAATGCCGCGTCTAATTTACGAAGCCGCAAGCGCTTTACTTAAAATGGTCAGCATAGACATTTTTAAAGCAAGATAAACAGCGATACCTCGCAGCGCGCCGGTCAGCACAAACCTAACATTCGCGGTGATCGGGTCAAATGCCATTATCTGTTTTTTTGGCCTATAAACTTCGCATAAATAGTTTTTTTTTGCTGGAATTTGTAAATAAATCACAGTACATAGAAAGACCAAGAAAAATTATGAATTGCAAAGGATTACTGTTTTGCATCTTTGTTGCTGGTGAAGTACATGCACGTAAGTTTCTGTTCAACATTGCACAATATTTTACTATGCACCAAAAGTAAATATCTGGTGACTTTAATTCTGGAATTTACTATACCTAAGAGGTCTGTGTTTCCAGACTGTGCTACCTCAATTTTCTACTAAAACAACTGTAATTTCGATTGACTGACTGACTTTTTTGTAGAACATCTAAAATTGAAACATTACGACAGTTGCTACACTCCCGCTGGAGGACCTGGTCACTGTATAAATATTCGAAATTGCCCAGAACTAGTAAGCATACTTCAACGTCGTCCGTTAACAAGCGACGATGCCGCGTATCTGAGAAGCGCCATTTGTGGTTTTGAAGGTGTCGACTCAAAAGTTTGCTGTTCTTTGGACGAGCATGAGTTCAAACCATCTACTGTGGAAGAAAAAGCACCGAGTACATCAAGTCATCAATGGAGAGGCATTTCATCGCAATTTGTCATTAACAATGTTAGCTGATTACCTTTCGTTATAGAACATTTAGTAGCCAAAGACTACGACAGTTGCGACACTCCCGCTGGAGATCCTGGCCGGTGTATAGATCTACGATACTGTCCGGAGCTAGAAACAATACTTCAACGTCGCCCGTTAGCACGCGATAGCGTTACTTATTTGCAAAGGGCCCATTGTGGCTTTAAAGATCTCAACCCAAAAGTTTGCTGTTCTTTAAAGGACAAAGAAAGTATTACAAGAGATAAACAAGGCACATTAAATGACTACACCAATTATAAGGTTTTACAGCCAATGTCGTCCTTATTACCAGACAAATATGACTGCGGACAATCATCTGCAGAAAAAATTTTCGGCGGAGAAGTCGCGGATATGTTCGACTTCCCTTGGATAGCTCTAATTAAGTATAAGACACGTAAGTTTTTATTTTTAAATTAAACGGTTATTACATTGCACCATCCTTGATCAGTGTTGGTACCTATACTGTATTATAGTATTTCGGTGATTTACACAACTGTCCTTTTCTGATTCAGTTGATGGATATGGTTTCCATTGCGGTGGTTCATTGATTAACACGAGGTATGTCTTGACCGCCGCACATTGCTTGATAGGAAAAGATCTTCCAGAAGCGTAAGTTAAATCATTTATTTGCTATCTTATAGATCCTTCACAAGCTCCAAGTCAGTAAAAATGAGAGGGTGAGTAGGTACTACATATCTATAATAAAATCATTGTTCTCGTCCATAAATCCAAACTCCATCAAACACTAGGCCTTTCTAAACCTCGTTACATTATAGCCCGTGTTTGACCCTAATAGCAGATAAATGAATGACCTCTCGTTGATAAAATCACAGATAAATGAATTTGATCGACAATATTGGTTTTCCCTTCACGAGAAATGGGAATTTCGGATGGTAATTGAATGGAGGGGCGGCCCAACGCTTTGATTACGTCAAGTGTAATTACCGCACGCCAAGAATGTGAAAACCATTTCCCAGTAGTCCTACCGTTAAAAAAGTATTTCCTATCGGAATATCGAAATTGGGAGAGCTTGTATCACCTTTTGATAGCGGGCACCGCCCCTCCAGAGGGGTTTTCAATTACAAACAAATTAATTAGACGTTGCCATGCTTTTTTTTTGTTAAATCCGGGGAGATTTCTAATTTAAAAACATTTGAATTTTGCAATGTTAACATTTTTTTAAATTAGAATTTTCAAAAATGTAAATTTTTTATTATTTTGTAAGCCTCAGACCGGAGTGTTAAGTTGCGAAAGCTCATAGCAGTTAAGTCGTAAAACTGTTGCTCATTATATTCGGAAATTATTTGCCACTAGACACAATTCACAAATGTCAGCAATTCAAATTTAAGAGATGCTTTTTTTTTAATTTAAATTTTTTTAATTCTTGATAATTTTCAATCGTTGAAGCTGGCAGTCATATTTCTTTCTTTTGGAATTTTGAAAAATGATTTTCTACAAATTCATCGAGGGAAGCATGCCAAGAATTAAAACCCGTTCCCAAATTTAATTTTTACTGCTGACCGGTTCTGAGGCATAACATTTAATAAAATTTAATTACGAGAGAGTGTGACCGACAGTATTTTTTGGGGTTTGAGATTTCTAAAAGTTGAAGGTTAACTCCACATCAAATTCACAAAATTTTTGACTTACAATTTTAATTTTGTAAATGTGTAAAATACAAAGAAATCCTATGATTCAAGAGTTCCGTGAATTTAAGAAATCTAAATTTGAAAATTCTGGGGGGGGGGGGGCTTTAACAGTCTTCGAAAACCTCTATATTTAAATTCACGGACTTGAATGTTAAAATAGGATTTTGTAATTTGGAGACTTTTCACTTTGATTAATTTTAACTTTAGCGACACAAAAATGAACGTTAACATTTTCTGACTTTGCTAACAGTTTTTTGATCGCAATTTCACTTTACACGGGATATTAGAGTATCTTTCTTTCTAATTTGTGGCACTGCGTAAAATGAGGCAAAATGTTTGTGGAATTTGCTGAATAGCACGTCGCGTCGTTTATAAATACGAACAGTGTCTTTATCTAACTGTATTACGATTGCGAGCTTTTAAAGTCCTACACGTTAATGTGTAAATGTTCCTTGACCTAATTTTATATCACGTTAATCCTTATTGAAATGACACTTCTTTTGCAAACTAAGGTGCGCGGCAACTGCACGTAAATTCCGCTAAGGGTACCGAAAGCTAAAATACACTTTTTCTATTATAATCCAAAATACGAACTTCACTTTTTCAAGTAACTTCCCTACTGGGGCAAAATGATAAATTCCAAAAAAAAACGACTGAATATTATTGACACTAGTTGTCGCTATGAACGGGATCAACTTCTTCTTTTTAAGCTCGGTTATCCCGAATGACAAATCGGATTATTTAGGCTCTAAAAGCCGCTATATGAAAAGGCATATGGTTTGATCTAACCAGGTCGACTTCCAAGGTCAGAATCAGTAATTTTGTGCAAAATTCGTCCCCTCTCTTTACCATAAGCTGACTTAAAACGCTGACTTCCATGGCGGCGATACTTCGTTAGTTTTCATTGGTTTGTCGACTCTAAGGTTGTCTACAGAAAAAACTGACTCAACAAAATTTTTCCAAGGAAAGCTTAATTCGCAGTGTAATAAATGAAACATTATATAACCTCTTTTTAGCTTGTAAAACGAACAAATTTCCGTCAATAAGGCGCCAAATGCGATTTAAAACAAAGACATGACTGGTAGCTGTGACGCAGATTTACATATGAAGCTCGCTGAACTACAATCTACAAAATAAAAACTTGAACCTGACATAATGAATAAAACTTTGACCGTCTTTAAACTTGAAAACTTTTCCTTCACTGAAAACGATCGCAAAAATGTACGTAAAATAAACGTTCCCGTTACACGTCCATGTCCAGTTCCGAACGTTACAGCATTACTACATTCTCACTTCAGCATGCATTCAGCATTCAGCATTTGAACCTTCACTATTATTAAGACGGCGATATATTTTGCACAACACATTTCCTTAAATACATCCGAATAAAAAATCGCGATATTTTTGCTATTGCCCTTGATTGCGTTATTATTTTGAGCCATGCTGACGGTGTGGTCTTGTGTTTTCAGAGTTAGTGTCCGCCTAGGTGAATACAATTTGGAACTAGATTTGGATTGCACCAGCACACCCGAATACCCGATGTGTGCCGACAAGCATATTGACATTCCTATCGCAGAAATGGTCGTACACGAACACTACCGCCCATTCGATGACAACCAATACAACGACATTGCACTCTTAAGGTTGGCTCGAGATATTCCCTACACAGGTATCTACAAGAAAATTTTCCACCTACAAGTAAGTTTCATACAATTTTAGACTTCATCAAGCCCGTTTGCTTACCGATCTATCCCAATCTTATAAACGAATACTTCGTGGGGACAAATGCTACTACGGCTGGTTGGGGAAGAACCGAAACTCAGCGTAGCGGCAGCAGCATTAAAATGAAAGTTACGGTGCGTAGTTTATGATCTTCGGTCGAGTAATAAAGAAGTTTACATTGCAGTTACCGGTAAGGTCAAATCTAGATTGTAAAGATGTTTATGCTAGCAGACGTGTATCGCTGAGTATACAACAACTTTGTGTTGGTGGTGAAAGCGGTAAGGATTCCTGTAAAGGTGACAGTGGTGGTCCTTTAATGCATCTATACACTGGCCCGGGTGAAATAAACTGGTACATTATCGGAATCGTTTCTTTTGGACCGCAGATATGTGGACTAAATGGGTGGCCTAGTGTATACACAAGAGTAACAGAATACGTTCCGTGGATACTCAAACATCTGAGGCCATGATTTTTAAAAGATAGGTTAATCACAATGAGATCTTTGTCTAATAGTCTTTAATTTAAAGGAATGTATTTTTTTGGAATTTGTTAAGTAAAAGTTTTGTAAAAGTTCACTGTTCTTGATGAAACATGCTTAGGAGAGTAACTCGAACGTTTTTCTTACACTCCTTTAACGATAACTGTTTCGGTGCTCATAAGATATCCAGGAAAAGTACTGAAAAACTAAAAAAAAAGAAACGATTAACCTTGCTTACCCCAGTAACTGGGTTCCCATATAAATACAATAGGAATAGAGAATAGATCATACTACTACTAACCTATAAATAATGAAAAATACTGTAAACAACGGCAATATGAAAAATATCCTTACCTAGATTAAAGTGAGCACAACCTCATTCACGTGAATATGTTTAGATAAATCATTTTGGCAATTTTAACTTAATGCCTCTGGAATTTCATAAGATTTTCACATCTTTCGCAAAGTAAGTACCTGTCCATGGCAACGAGAAAAGCACAAGACAAAAGCAAAAGTGATATTTCCTCAATCCCAATGGGCGCTATCAGCGGACAACGGCGACAAATCATAAGTAATCATAAGAAATTCTCGCTGAGTAAATTGCGCACAGCTGTTCACAGAAAGCTGATTATTATCGTAGCGGAGAAAAAAAGAAGCATACAGTAAGGGTAATCACAAGTTGTTCTAAAGTAACGGAAAAACCTGAAAATAGGCAACACACAATAGAGATATTAGTCCTTATCGCGATAATATCACCTATGACCTTTGCGAAAGTAATTTTTATTAATTGGAATATTACACCCAGTGTACCATTATGTACATATACATCGAAAGATGGCGAATTACGTAGGATTACAGATTTTCATTTTATGGGTACATGCACGTAAGTGTTTATTTTGCTTTATCGTGTTTAATAATAGGCTCGCATAGCTCGCTAAACGACGAACTACTTTTTCATTCATGTGATAATATTGATCATTTCCTTCATTTAGTAAAATAATCAGAATTGCTATGGTGACTGTGACCGATTGTTTGAAAACGTCAAAATTTTACCGCGGTTGAAAATGTGTCAAAAATTTCTTACGTGATCCAAGGAATAATCAAGCCGAATATCCCGCGTGCTTATAAATATTATAGATTTTGTCGTTTTCAATCAAATTGTTTTGCTAAAAAGAAATACTTCTCCTGAATTCTCCACCCACAATCCACCCAATTTTGTAACATGGTAAATTGACTCGACGTATTTTTAAGCAAAACATTTGACGAAAAAGTCAAAATTTAATCGGCTATTTTTATGCACTTGGGATATTACTGTTGCAATATAGTGGATTCAGCGAAAAAGTTTAGGGGAGTTCTCAATAGTAGGTATTGCGAGGAATGGTATTCTTGGATTTGCATCTTAAATGTAAGGGAAAGACTGCAGTTTTACGGTCCCAAGTTGTTCAAAACAATCCTTACGGCTTGTTTAAATGAATTTACCCATCACCTAAAAGTCAGCATTTCTCCACAGATTATAAATATTCCACCAGTTTCGAACGAAATTATAACGCTTGTGTGTACGTAATACAATGTAATGCAATGCATATAGTAGGCTACGGGTCATAACAATAATCGTTTATTTACCTTAGAACTTAATTATTACATCAGATTTGTACTGGTGCCATACTGATCTAATTATTGTAGTTAATGTTATATGATATAATAATACATTTTTTATTTTAAGGGGAAGTAGGAAAATAGTCCCTGCGTATATCCATACAGAAGAAAAGATACCTTTAATCGTGAAAAAATTGTAGACGATGTAAGGCCTTTAGTTTTTACTGTAAATACACGCGAAATTTTATGGACTTATTTCATGTCGATTATTAGGTATCAAAAATAATAATGTATAGAATTTCTTATTTATTTGTGATGAGTAAATATTTATAATTGTATATTATTGGTAGTGTATATTTATCCAGCATTTACTATATTTTAACTCTTTGAATATAGACTACTAAAATCAAAAATTTAACTGGTGTAATATTTATATTGTGTTGAGAACTGCTGACTTCTAGGGGATTCAATTGGTGTCTATTGGCAACTCGCCTAAGCGTTAATGAGAAATGTTAACTTTTCGCCAAATCCAATTAGAAACCTAACCATATTACTGCCATACATTTTAGTATCTCCATCTAAACAGTCAGATTGCACCACGCCTGGAAAACAACTTGGGCAGTGTATATCTTTTCAAGATTGTCGGGAGCTGACAAAGTTGTATAAGAGTCGCCCATACCATGAAACTGCCGCCTATTTGGACGAAGCACGTTGCGGGCTTAAGGGTGAGGAAGAACAAATGTGTTGTTCGATAAACGGTAACGATTTCCTGTTATACTTGGCACTAATCACGACCAGCACGACCGGTGAGTATGCGTTTATTTAAAGCTCATTATTTGTAAAGTTTTATAAATAAAATCAAAAATGCCTACGTCAACTTGGAGGGGAGGGAGGCGCGGTCAATTATGCCTATATTTCCTACTGACGTTTTTATAGCTTCTACTAGTTAGATCGAACCGCCTATAAAGTCTGATGATCTGATCTGATTCTCTTTGGTTTGTGCGCTTCTCTAAATTGTTACATTTTAAGTACCTACTATACTCCATGCTACGATCTTGTTTGGAAATCAAAGACAAAGTGATTGCTTTTATTAAGCAGAAGAACGTTGGTTATGAGGGGAAGAAGGCCAAAGTTGTTACTAGAGAAGAAAAAATGAATTTTTACGTTTTGCACCAGATGACCTGTTCTTAATGGTAATCATAATCATAATCATAATCTTTATTGATCCAATATATCCAGTTTTGAATGTAGGACAAGTCAGACATCATGTTACAAAAAACTGCTAAAAACTGCATTGTAAGCTTAGGGCACATATACATTAAATAAATAGATAAAAGATAAAGATAAAATCACATAAAAACATTGGAACATATAGTATTAAAATTACAAACATACAAACTACATAAAATGTATAAAAAGTAATTAACAAGTAAAAGTAAAATGTTTTATGTTGAAGCCGTGGTTGAAGCTTATGGATGTACACATTCATTTTCTTTACAGGTCGCTTTCCTTTTTGTATTGTTTAGGGTCTTACGTGGAAAACAATTGGGGAATATTACTGTAGACGATATTGAAGACAAGGATACAATCCTCATAGTTTAAGGTCCTAAGACAAAGTTGTATCAAAGTTGTATAGAAAGTCTGAAAGTATATAGTTTCACGCTCCTCAAATATGCAAAATCGTCGATTCTTCTTATCATTTAGAAATGCCAAATGTACCAGGCAAGTATGTGGAGAGCACTTTTTCGCGAGCATTACTCAAAAAATTGCGCAGTTTGCCAAATTATCAGAACCGGAAAAATATACTAGGCATGCGTAGGTCGTCTGCTACATTGTTAGCTGACTCCGGAGCGGATATTTTACGTCTAAAGCGATTAGGGGGAGGGAAAAGTAGCAAAGTTGCCGAATATTAGTGGAAAACAGCATTGCTCAAAAAATTAAAAGCACATATTGGTCGATAATTCGTCTACAAATATTGTCAATAGAAACAGAATTATAGACGTCATCACACCTGGACCTTCTATTCGCATTTCAGTACGCCAGCAAGAGTGTTGTATCACATGAAAATTTATTAACTGAAAATAGTGCTATTAATTATAGCAACTTTCGAGTATAAATGTAAATAAATTTCAGTTACATCGTATCAATCTTATTGTATCTACCGATATCTTATCTGATCGTTATCTGTTATTTCGTTGTGTCAAGTCACAATACTGCTATGTCTGAAATTCAGTTTCCGTTCCATTTCATTTTGTTACTAAATGCTTAAAATGAGATAAGTACGAGTACCTCACTTTCCCTCTCCAACCCGTTGAAAAGTGAAAAAGTACCACTTTCCATACGATTTTAACATAGGGAATGTTTATGGTTTCGTAGATAAAGTTACGAGTTTCATTCATGCAGAAAAGACAACGGTGTCGTATCAAGTGACGATTGTACCATACTCTTTTTTTCATTTCAGGCATAAAAATTCATTTTTCTCCAACCACCTGAATAAGACGCTATTTTGTGACAGTGTTCGGTACCTAAAATTGACGTTTTGCGGATTAATCGCTTTCACCATGGCAACTGTACAAAAAGTGGATACTTTTGGTCCTAGTACCAAAAAGAAATTGACCTTGAAAGTTGGCCAATTAAAAAATTACAATCACGGAGATATGTCACATTGACATCGTTTTACATTGCAGGTTGTAAGATATTTCTATACATACAAATCAAATATTTTTGCAGATTCAATGCAAATAATGATGTTACCTATACGAATGTACATGTATTGAAAATTATTCCGTGAACGTAATTTTAATACGTAGACAACCCGCCGTCGCGCGTAACGCCATCTACTTCAGACCAATTGCACTATTAACTGTCATTTTGAATTCAAAATTTGAAAAAGTTAATTGCAATTAATTTTAATTAAAAAACTGTATGGTAAGTTTTTTATTTCAATACAAAATATAACAATATTAATTGTTTATACAATAAAATGACTGAAACTGATAGCGACATGGATTGCACTCCGCCAGAGATTATAGAAACGGCAGAACATGCTACCTCAAGATTTGCTCCCTACAAAGTCGCGAGAGGTGAGAAGTAAGAGGTAAAAACGAATAGGTTATAAGTTAACCTAAAAACTAGAGTGGCATGACACGTGAGGACAAGAAAGCAGAAGTTCTTATACTATAGTAGTGAAACGGTAACTGAATCTAAATTCGAATATAATTTGAAGTAAAGGGGGTTGGAGAAAAAATTTTATGTTTTATTCGTACAAAAAATGCGTTTTCGGGACTCGGAAGGTTGCTGGACTCCGCTAACGCGTCGTCCAGCAACTATCTTCCTCGTCCCGAAAACTGACATTTTTTGTACTAATGAAACAAATAACTATTTTATTATACCTGAATCACAATCTCCGTTTTAAACACTCAAATGCGTGCGAAAAAGGGCCTTTAAAACACACGTGCTTTAAAGTTGCTAAGTAACGATACTTCAAGTATGACTTTTGAAACTGTCATCTGGATGAAATAAAAAATCCTCTTAGGTCGCTTTCTGTAAATGCAGAACATTTCTTTGGCTTTTGTACCTATCCTTTGGTTGAAGCTTTCACAAACGCGCGTAATTTAGGGTATGCTTCCAAATCTGTTCCACTTTTTAATCGCAGCATTGCTTTAAAGTTTTGAATGAATGCACCAAAATATAGAAGATTTAAATACCTTTGACATTTCCTTCATATATGCCAGCATTATGGATGCATTTAAGACTTTATTCGTAAGTAACTTCCTATATTCATCCATGGAAACAACTTTTCATATTCTTTATAATAGGCTTTACTGGAGTTGGATTTTACACCTACCAACGTTTGTTTAGATTTTACAACAATCGATTTAATGGACGGTGTATTATCTTTTTCAACGGAAATCGTTTAATTCACAAAGACGATGATTTTTATAAGCAAACGTCAAGTGACATTTCCATGGCAATCGTGAAATTACGAACACCCAGCCCACTTAATTAGACATGTATTCGAGTATAACGTCAATATGACTTCATTGTATTTCCTATTTTTAAATTATACTGCAGGTATAATAAAAAATACTATAAGATACACGTGTATAATTGGTCTTTAAAGCACTTGCAACGTTAAAGGCACTCCGCTTTGCGTCGTGCCCTTAAACTCGTTGCGCGTGCTTTAAAGACTTGATTATACACTTGTATCTTAATATACTATTATATCGCGCTGTTTTCATTCCCGCTTATGTCGTAGGCCTTGGGTAGAAACTGAACGGAATGTTCAATTTCATCTTGGCACGTCATGCCCTTGCCGTTACAATGTGATTATCCTACTACCACACTTTCAACTTGTCAACGTTTTACCATAAACGTCGTACACATAACGGAAGATAAAAGAAATCCTAACAGGTATTTGGCTTACGCTGAGGTTGACGGTAATAGTTACCGGAAAATTCTAAGTGAACAGAAGCTTAACATAGGGTGGGACCGTTGCAGAATTTATGATGCTGTGACAACTAGAAGATGCTACAAGTGCAATGGGTTCGGACATAAGGCAACTGACTGTTGCAAAACTACTACCTGCCCCAAATGTGCGGGAGACCATGACCTAGCGAGCTGTAAAGCTTCGGACGCGGAAATCAAATGCAGTAACTGTGCCAACGCCGTTGAGAAACTAAAACTGAAACTGGATGTGCAGCACCCGGCCTGGAGTGTTGATTGTCCAGTCTACAAAAAACGACTCGATCAAGAAAGAAGCAGAATTGATTTTTTAGGCCATCCCCAACACTAATCGAGCAAGGAAATAGGTACGGATCAACGCTCTCAATCTATGATCAGAACGTAAGTGGAATGCGAACGAAAGCGCAATATTTCAGAAATAAATTAGCAATTACAAATTACGACATTATTCTACTGACTTGAGACCTGGTTAACGGAAAATTTTCATGATGCTGAGTATTTCAACAATCAATATGCGGTCTTTCGCAAATACCGTAATTACGAAGAAATGAAGTGTACCATGGGGGGCGGAGTTTTAATCGCAGTCAAGACCGATTTGAATGCTGAAAAATTGGAATTTCAAAGTGATCTAAATGAAATATGGGTCAAACTTAAAATTAATAATACTTCATACATTCTTGGTGTTTAGAAACAATTGAAAACATGTTGCCTTCATCGGAAGTTTTAATATCAGGCGATTTTAACCTACCACAAATTGTTGACGCCACGTACTCGAAAACGCGAGTGCTAAATGCAAAGTAATTAAAAATATAGCTTTGATGTACAACTTAAAACCCATTAATACAGTTAAAAACTGCAATAATAGAACCCTTGACCTAATTATAACTAACTTAAACGCGGAAATTAAATCTGCTGTCGACTCACTGGATAAAATTAATCCACTTCATGCTGCACTAGAAATAGTCTACAAAGTCCATAGACCAGCTAAGCGAATTACCAACTTCAATTTCAAAAAAGCAGATTTTCTTAAAATGTACGTCCTTTTTCGCGATATTAATTGGAAGGAGTCTCTTATCCTGAAGAATTTCAAATCGGTAGATGATGCAGTAACTAGCGGTAACGGTAATGAACATTTTCGATGAATGTGTCCCCAAAGTTACAATTAGGAGTGCCAATAAGTATCCTAGCTGGTTTAATATAGACATTATTAAGAAAATCAAACAGAAAAATAAGTTTCGGTTACAGGGCCAATCGGAAGACTTCATTGAAGCCAGAAAAGAACTCAAAAGAATGATCCACATTGCTCATAAGAGGTACATTAATCAAATTGAAATGGATCTGCGGAAGAATTCCAATAAATTCTGGAACTACATCAAGTCGTTGAGTAAGAATAGTCAACTACCTGGAGTTTTTGAGTACAAAGACATCTCGTTAACGGACGCCAGAAGCATTGCGGACGCCTTTGCATCCTTCTTTGAGTCAGTCTACACTGTTGAGAGGAACGAGGACCCGGAAGATGACGTGGAATCGGACCTGGTGTTATACAAATTGCACTTGACTCAGCTACATGAATCCGAGATACTGGAAGCAATTAAAAAATTGAAACCGAGGTCGGCTATGGACGAAGATGGAATCCCACCCTAAATCGTGAAAGGATGTGCATCTTTATTGCTAACCCCCTTACTACATCTATTTAATTTAGCTTTGCAAACATGTACATTCCCTGAAGCTTGGAAATGCACCAGGATAACACCAATTCACAAAAGTGGAAGCCGAAAATTAGTTGAGAATTATCGCCCAATCGCAATTATACCAGCAATAGCGAAAATTTCCGAAAGAGTGATCTATACTAGACTTTATTCCCATCTCAGCAGTATAATTGCAGATCAACAGCACGGTCTCACGCGGAACAGATCAACGATTACCAATTTAATGCAGTTTACGCATTTCTCAGCAGCAGCCTTGGGTGAGAGAGCCCAGGTAGACTGTGTTTATACAGATTTTGCGAAGGCATTTGACACAGTATCCCATCAAGAAAAGTGCAGAAAAAGTTCATCCGAGTAATGTTTTTTAGGTCAACCCAAAATTATCCACATTTGATCTCTTACGGTACCCAGCTTAATTACTTAAATAGTACTTTCGGCTTAAATATAACGAAGTTAGAAACCCGACGGTACATTGCCTCCACAATTTTTGTCTTCAAAATTTTACACAATTTGTTAAACTCTTCCGAATTACTTCAAGAAATTAAGCTTAAGGTACCATTTGTTAAGCTAAGGCAAAATAAGACTATGTTTGCAGTTAACAACACAACTTCCCCACTTATTAAGATCTTGATCACTTTAAATAAGTTGTCCTCAGTTAATGATATCGACTTTTTTCACGATCCCCTAAATTAAATAATAAATCAAATTAGATCTTAAGTCCTAATATTTGTTCAGAGCCCCAGTGCCATGTAATTGGAATTTTTATTCTGTATGGTTTCTGGTTAAACAAATAAATAATAAAATAATTTAAATTGGCAATATTTATGTTACAGATACTCCAAATCTTCTCCCTTCTCCTGACAAATGTGGGCGAGAGATGGGAATGAGAATGTTTGGTGGAAAAGTGGCGGAGTTGGACGAATTTCCATGGATGGCGATCCTTGAGTATTCAAAAGCAAAACGTAATTCTAAACCACGTTTTTATTTTCTATCTAATAGCATTGATGTTTAGAGTCAGATAGTAGCTTCCACTGCAGTGGTGCTTTAATTTCCAACAGATATGTTCTAACAGCAGCTCATTGCATTACAGCGTACAGGGCCGAACAATGGGAACTGTAAGTTGTGTAATGGATCAGCTCGATATTCTCGTACAGAGAGATTCTTTTAAGAGAATACAGAAGTACAATTTCCCTATTATCCTTTTAATTAGAACACACCAGAGCATTAAAAACATTATCAGTTTTTGAGGAAACTTACGGAACATACGGAAGGTACCTATTCATGAAACTTTATTCAATCCAGAAATGTGTCTTGTCGCGCCATTACCCATATTATTATACTAATTCACCATCGAAATATCAAGCCGCAAATAAAATTTTGACTGTCATATGCTATTTAAGTTGTCTAAATTCTCTAAAGCTTTGATGTTGTCCGTTTAAAAGGATCCACAGGAAAATATAAATGTGCTCTCCTAAAGGAAGTTTTTGTAGGTCTCTACTTATTTTTTTTTCAGGAGAAGCGTTCGCTTAGGCGAACACACTTTACAAAACAAAACAGACTGTAACCCCTTCTACTGCACGAAAGATCCAGTAAATGTGCCAGTGGAAGAGTTAATTACCCACGAGCTTTTCGATCCCAACAGTGTATCTTCAGCTAATAATATAGCGTTAATTAGACTTCAGCAAGAGGTAGTATTCACAGGTGAAGACAATCGTCAATCTCAAATCAAAGTCTTTTACGTAAGTTGTGCTATTTTAGATTTCATTCATCCCATTTGTCTGCCACCAACTGATAATACGGACTACACAGGGCTCAACATGCTCATTTCTGGATGGGGACAGACAGAACATGTACCGAAGAGTGGTGAAAAATTGAAGCTACGGGTCAGTTGTACTCGCATCTACTGCAAATAATATACAAAATGTTTTTAGATTCAGGTAACAACACAAGAAAAGTGCATAACAACGTACCGGCTAGCGAACGTGGAACTAAAAGAAGGTCAGATATGTGCGGGTGGAGTGAAAGGAGAGGACTCGTGTCTCGGTGATGGCGGAGGACCACTTATGTTATTTAATCAAACAGCTTCAACTTATTTTGTTGCCGGAATTACGACATTTGGTAACGCGGATTGTGGTACGGAAGATTGGCCTAGTGTTTATACGAAGGTTGTAAATTACATCCCATGGATTAATAGTAAACTAAGACCGTAGTGATTAATAAAATATTTTGTAAAAGTGGTCTTGATTTAATAATTGTGTTTTTAAGATGATACCTACCTTCGTAATATGTTTTTGTTTTTGTACCATCGGCTAAAGACTTCTTTTCTTAGGGATTATGGGTGAGTTATAAATGTGCAGAAAAATTAGCTCTATTGAACAACGAGTAAAATAACACGGCCAATTCGTCTTTGGTATGCAATCTATTTTTTGTACTTCACAATGTGTTTTGTATTTCATTTATGGGACAAAAGCGTCACTTTTTCTCTTGGATGGATTAAAATGCGATGAGGGACGAAAAGTACACCTTGAAATCTCAAACACTAACAGGTACCTTAAAATTGTAAATGCTGGTTCTGGACAGGAATTTCCTGATAGCTTATTTTGCAGTATTATCGGTGCCGTCATTTTGTGCAAAACTTTGTAAATTTATCTGGTGTATACCTAATATCATACTGCAACAACAGTACTATTACAAGGTATATTATGATTCTACTATTAAACAATAGTACAATACGCACCGTATAACTGTTGGTAGAGTTGGCGCTGCGTGTCCTCAAACCCGCCGCATAAACGACCAACTAGCGCAGGGTTAAACAAGAAAATACAAGCTAAGGTGAGATATGTTTAAGGGTAGTTCGTTCTGCGCATTTGATATTCGTCCTTGGTTGCACTTACAAATGGTTGAGCGCCACTCAATTTCTAACTTAACTCTCCGCGTATGAAATTGAGAAGATACGAGGGTAGTAATAACAGTAAAAATCAATTTAGGTACCATTAGAAATATTGGTTTATTCTTAAAGGTCATTATCAAAATAATAATTATCTCCTCAATTGATTGGATAGCATAACACACAAAATACTCCCCCAAATATACCTACTCAAAATTATAACTTACGTTCAAATTATCGTGCCTGTCTTTCCCAAAAAGTTTTTCTTTTACGGCTTACATACACATGGTATATGTTTCGGCTATATAATCTTTACAATACAATATAACTTACGTTACTTGCAAATCTTATTAACTTCACTATACAATTGAAATTCCTCAGTTTAACCAACCCTTAATCAAGAATCATCGACTAACAAACTAATTACTGAATCATGTAACAGATTTCCACAAATCAATTGATATTTCGGACAAAAATTCGCACCTTAGAAAAATGTTACATGTCAAATCAAAGAAACCTCCCAAGCCGCGGGGCGGTAATAATTAGTTGAATAGTGCCAGAAGGGTCTCGCTCTTCAGAAGGAAGTGGCAGTCTACAATAATATTCTGCGAAAACTTAAACGAGATGGTAAAAATACTAAGTAGGTACTAATGTTAACAAATTATTCTTGAATGGCACAGAGCTCTAAGCGAGGTATACTAGTGGCAGTTTGCAAGGGACCGACTCTGACCAACTTAGATGCCAATAACTGCGCAGATGCGTTGCCAGAAATACTGTGTCCTAAACTCCTAACATACACAAGCGCCGTAGGCGTACGAACTACTGTCACTATATGCCATTCCAGGTTCAGTTAAATCTTCCAGAGGCGAATTTTCCGTGGGTAAATTTTCCGAAAGAACTTACCCTAGGGGATAGGATAAGGAAATAAGTAATTTTCCCTCCGTTTATTTTGACAAAACCAATCGTTTTCGGAGTCGTGGAAAAATAATTGTCTAGAGGTGACTGATGAACGTTCCAATACTTTCGTCACACAACTAAAACAGTGTTTCAATGAAATAGCGCAGAATTCACAGACAAGCATAACGGTTATCAAAATGACAGGATATTTATTTGTATATAGGAAGCATTTATCTCGAATGATGATTTCCGGAATAACAGATTTAAGAACTTGAAAATTCCTTTTCTCTTTAAAAATTGAAGGTTTTTTTGTTTGAAACAGTTAGAAATAACATCGTGAGTTCCTGAACGTTATCGACACAATAGTAGTTTAAAAATTGCGCATCTTGTGGTCCTTTATTACCAACAGAGATTTTTATTTTGGTAGTCCATCTTCTTCTAACTTAAATACATGCAACATAATGTCTAGATCCGCGCCTGCATGTTATCTAGGAACCGTGATGGGGAATTTGCTGGTATCGTAGTGGGAAGGGGTCCATAAGTTTATCTCATATCAATGAAAAATGACATTCTACAGGTTGCCATAAAAAGGCGTAGAAAGACCTTTGCAAATATATAAACTAATTCTTATACTTTTTTATTTAATTTTGTGGTATTCTTCGTATGTGTTTTAGTATACAAGTATGCCAGAATCACAAGCTCCCTGTGGAAAGTTCTTAAGTTATTTAACGCGTATCGTGTTACTAAGTAAGTATTTACATTATAATTCTACTGTAACTATAATTTATGATTTCTATTTCAAGTACGTGGAGTATATGGCGGGCATTCTCAATGTATAACATCAGATTACACACAGGGAAATTGCGTTGCTATCAAAGATTGCCCAGAACTTTTTGATATTTGGGAAAAACCCATGATTAATCCTGACGAAATGGAGCTGCTCCTAAGTGCTCGGTGTGGTACTATGGGAGGAGAGCAAAAAGTGTGTTGTGCCGCAATTCAAACTAGTAAGTACTTTTATAAAATAAAGATAGAAATATTGAATTTAGTTGGAGTTTTGCCTGCTAATCCAGTCCAGTTTGGGGATTTAATGTGCTTATTGCAAAATTTAACGAATATCTTTCAATATAAACTAAACATCTTACAGCATAAACGCTGTTCCTATAAGAACATGTCAAAAAGTAGAGTATGTACTCTTACATCCATGCTTTTTAACCGTCATATGAAAATTTGCTCAAGGATATTTGAAAATAGACATTATTAAAAATTTGATAGGTTTAATTAACTAAAATATAGGTAGCTTTTTTACATTACAAATATTTGAAAGTTTTTGATGAATCACTGAATTTCTAACTACGAAATGTGTAATTTAACCAGAGGTATTATTGGGTATTAGCGGGTATTAGTTGAGTATTAGTAGGTATTAATATGGGTATTAGGTGTTGTAGTGAGTATTGGTAGGTATTAGTTCAGCAAAATCAGGCATTACAGGTATTAAGAGATATTATTGTATGTACAAAATTTTAGGTGCGGTTAACCCCTCGAAATAAGGTTACAAAAAAAGATGCGTACCCCTTCCCCTATACATATCCGCAATTTTAGATAGACTGCGCAGAGAAAAATATCGGAGTTCCTTCTATATTAAATCCGCATATTGGCAAATACCGGTTAAATAATCATGCCGAGAATACATTGCGTTTACAATATCAAGCCAGCTCCATCAATTTAGACGTCTTCCTTTTTGGTGAACTAAAATGCACCCGCGCGTTGCAGCGTTTAATAAACACTGTCCTAGGTGTTGACCTGGAACCATTTATACATGTGTATTTAGATGATATAATAATACATAATTTCTCCAGAAATTAGAAATTCTGGAAGAAGTATTTTTAATTAAAACAGGATTAACTTTAAGCATTGAATAAAGATAAAGAATCTTTATTCAATGCCTTAAGGAAGGAGAAATGCAACTTTTGCAGAAACTCTTTAAAATATGTAGGGTATATTGTTGACTCACAAGAACTACGAGATTACGTGAAAAAGTTTCTTAAGGAAAAGGTTCATTTTTGACGCATTGGGGGTTGCTCTCTAATTAAAATTGCAAAAAGCAAAATGAGAGGATAACTTTATATGGCCACAATTGATCAGTGCGAAGTTTTAAGTATAAAAGGTTCGTTCGTAGGTTTTAAAAGGTCTGTTTCAAACTTTGAATATATTCACAGATAACAAAAATAAAACCTTAGCAATTGGGCACTTTGACATACGAAGTTCTAAGTTTGGGGCCCCTAAAGATTTCGATTTTAACCAACACTTAACTCAGTTAGTGCAACACGTACTTAATCCCTCTACTAATAATTCTCATTCTTGTAAGGATTACGCAGTTACATGCTGTTTTAAAAACCATATTTAATCAGTGAGGTATATGAACGGCCATCCTCTAGTAGAATAATATGGGTCTTAATCACCTATTGTAAACTTAGGTACGAATCGAGTTATAAATTCACTAGGTCGATTATGAAATATGATACACGAAGTCAATTTAACTAAAATTCGGATCATCAGGCACTCCACTCCAACATCTATGTCTATGTGTACTGAATACTTAAATGAAAATTCAACGCTTGAATGCTTGACCTTACTTATATTTAGCTTGCAACACTATTTCATAATCACCACTTGTCTTTTAGCGACAAAGAACATTATTAGCTTAGAGAGGAAGCTACACAGTCCAGATGAAACAGTAAGTGATCTATCTTTTTCCGATAAATGTGGACTAACAATGGAAAGCAAAATATTTGGCGGAGAGTATGCGGGGTTGGGCGAATTTCCGTGGATGGCACTTATTGAGTATTCAAAACGTTATTATATGTACACAATATTTTCCCCACCTTCTAAAAATTGCATTGATTTTTAGCTACGGGGTATGGTTTCCACTGTGGAGGTGCGCTAATTTCCGAATGGCACGTCCTAACGGCAGCGCATTGCGTTAGAGATTTACGAAGAGGATGGAGAATGTAAGATATTTCCAGTTGGTACTACACCTGGTTTAAACCACTCATGTTGCAGAACAAGCGTTCGCCTAGGTGAACACAATTTACTAAACGCTACAGACTGTGATAATATGTACTGCGCGGATCCTCCAGAAAATATCGCTGTCTTTGAGATAATTCCTCATGAGATGTACGATCCCACAAATAAGCATCGATATCATGATATTGCAATACTGAAACTTGTTCGACCAGTTCATTTCACAGGTGAGCCGTTATCTAATTCATTTTGTGTTGAAAGTAAAGTTTTGACTGAGAACCAACCTTCGATAACGATTAATATGGCCCCTAAGAGACCTACTAGTTTATACACACAACGATAATTCTTTTCCTCTATTTCAGACTATATACTACCCATTTGTTTTCCACCTACTCACGATTCAACCTACGCAGGTCTCAATATGACCGTTGCTGGATGGGGAAAAACGATATATAGTTCACAAAGTGATAAATTGATGAAGCTAATCGTCAGTAACGTTTCTTGCAATTGAAATAGTTTTGAAGTTATCATCGCAGGTTCCCGTAAAACCACAAGACGATTGCATGTCCACTTACCGAGCAGTAAAAGTGGAACTGAAAGAATGGCAGATGTGTGCTGGTGGTGTGAAAGGGAAGGATTCGTGTTCCGGTGATAGTGGAGGACCACTAATGCTTTACAATCAAACCGTGACTGGCCCAATTTATTATATTACCGGAATTGTGTCATTTGGACCAACTAAATGTGGATCACAAGGTTTTCCCGGTGTTTATACAAAAGTTGTTGATTACATACCATGGATTAAGAGCAAACTAAAGTCTTAATAAATTATGTACTGAGAATAACATTCCGTGGGTGATTATTTATATAATGAATGATTCAAAGTTGCAGAACTATTAAAAAAACTTGACCTATAACCATTGAGTAATTACTTCACTCATTGTAAGTACAAAATGCATAATAACATTGTCGCATATCAACCGCGTAAAACAGTTATTTTCATATCAAGGGTGTAAAGTAGGTTAGTACTTGATAAAGTGGCATGGTAATTGCAGTGCCGTACACAGTTTTTTGCACGAGCTATTTGAAGAGCTAATCAAAAGATGGGTAACGATGACCAAATGTGTGTGAACAAGCTGAACATATTTCATGTCACAATGTCTAGTTATTCATTTTGAATTAAGAAAAACATAAGTAACCATAGCAACAGTATTAACAAGGATAGCTGTTATTGAAATTTTATTGACAAACCTTGTAATTTGCTGCGTAAAATTAGTACTCGAAAAATGCTGGAGATAATGAAAACAAATTGCCTAATATCGCAAAAGCAGCATACGCAGCGATTTTAAGCATGTTACCTACTATCACAGATTTAAACACTCTTAAATCTGTGCTACTATATACCTCTTATCATTAAGGGGAAATGGAGTTCATGGAGAATGTCCAAGCATAAATGTCGCAGCGATATAGGCCTCCTACTGTTGAATTTTAATCCATAACCACTGCGAAAAGAGTGAAGGTACAACAATAGATATTTATTTTATTAGGAGTATAAGTTACAATTTATGTGACCGAGTATGAAAGTTTAAACGCCGAGCGTAGCGAGACGAGTTAAATTCATACGAGTCACATAAAGAACTTAGGTATACTTCGAATGAAATACTATATTTTATTTTTAAACGTCATTTACATATAATGTAGGAAATAAGTAAAGATGCACTCAATAGGTACCGCAAATAATATCAGCATAACATTGCTTTGTATCCATGACTACAGTATAATTCAAACTGACAATTTCACTAGTAAACTTGACAATTTTCGTTTTTGTAAAGCAATCTACCGTCTACACGGTACCGAAAGGGTCCTATATACTTCAAGATGCCAAATTGGAAGGAATATACTGGTCATTTCTTGAGGAGGACTTCTTCAACTGTGTTGGCATATTGCAGAGGTGATATTACCTGTTTAACACAGGCATGGAGGGTGGAAATCTGATACAGTTGCTGTTGCTGCAGGGTACATATCGAAGAATCGTTATAGAATAAAGAAGACATTGCCACCAAGATCCTTTTGCATGATACAGTGAAAATTCATAAAGATTTGGGGAGGATTTCGGAATCCAATACAAACCCAATGTTACAAAATGCCACTTTAAATAATTGCACGTTTAATTTTAACGTCAAGTAGAATAATTTTCTTCAGAAAAGGTATAGTTTTATTTGATTTGATAAATAGAAATATACAGCTGGTGGACGTAAATGCTAAGTGTGTATTTTGTTTTCACTAGAGTGGCGTATAAATGTTATACGCCGCCGGAGTATAACACTTATACGCCGCTCAAAATAGGTGTCAAAAAAGTGACACTTAAACCTTCATAAAACTGTCGCTATAATTACAGTTAAACGACGTTTGAAAATAAACACGTTTTTATGAACGTAATAGTATTTTACATTATTAGCCAGGTAAGTGAGTTTTTACTGGCGATAGGAGAAGTTGACTGGCGAGCCGTTAGGCGAGCCTGTCATCTCCTAGAGCCAGTAAAAACTATTACCTGGCGTATAATGTACAATATTTTATTTGTTACTCATTTGTAAACAATAGTAAACGTAAATAATTAGTTCTTAAATTTATCTGCTGTCAGTTTTACAAGTCAGTAGCGTTTAAACATGACGTTTACCCGTTTGCGTTTTGTCTTGTTAATCAACGTTTACAACTGAGTAACAAATAAAACTGTTATTTATATCTTGAATGATCAAGGTAACAACTATTAGTAAAAATAAACGGAGTCTGACAGTCATGGCTACTATTGTTCTTTTCTTTTAAAAAATAAACTCGTTGAACGCCAGACACAAATAACCAAGTCCTTTCAACACTTCCCCCTCATATGGAATCGACTTTGATTAAGAAGTCTTTAAATCTCACGTAGAAATTGAAGTCTAGGTCCGATCACGGATGAACAAGTTAGGGGGTGCCCGTTTAAAAATTAGAATTTTATTTTGGTAGTAAAGAAAATGGCTCAATATTTTTCAACGGTTGAACATTTATTTAAAAGATTGCTTTATGCATGACGTTGAGGGGTTGGACGACTCTAGTCAAAGAGGTACTACAAAGGGCCCGCATTTGAGGCCTCGGTACGTGTGTCCGCCCTCCTATCGTAATCCAGCATCCATACAGGGTGTTTTTTTGGGAGCTTTAGTTAAAAGTTTCTGGGAAAGTAAAATAGGTAGGTTTTTGAAAATTTGTACTTAGGAGTTACTCTGAAGGCCGAATCGATGTAAAATATTTTCAAAATGGCCGCACTTCCGGAAACACCGGAAGTAGATAGTAACTTCGTTATTTTAAATGGCAACCCCTATTTTTATTGCTTTTTTGGATTCTACGTGAAATTTCACTTCTTTTGATACCCATATGTCGATATCTACCATTTATGGTTTTTAAGTTATTTTGACTTTAAGAAAAAAATGGCGGATGCAGATGGTACCTTGATAATTGATTACTTGAAAACGGTTGTAGTCATGGCAACCTATTTTTATCAGTGCATAGAGAATGAATAGGGCTTTCTTTTAGTGCACTTAAAAAAAAGTTAAGTTGCGTACGACCGCCCCTATGGATATCCAAATTTATGAAACTTCAAAGACTAAAAACTCAGTTTTTTTAATGGAATGACCATGTTCTTACTATTCCATGAGATAGAGAATCGAAATGGGCATATTTTGACAATACATGTTCCTATAGCTATCTTTAACAGTTTCTGACTTATTCCCATTTTATTGAATTGACACTATTTTTTTAGGATTTTCTTTTTAGTAGTCGGCCATGATTCTATAACAATTGAATTTTAAACAAATCTAGTGACACTAATCCATCACCCACTGTTATAGGTTAACATAAGTTTTCCAAAAATCGAAAAATGACTCGCAGTGGTTTCACCTATTTTGGAATTTAATTGTTATTTATGGTGAAATGGGCAGAATCGCGGCGCGTGCTTTCCGTACATTCATTCGAAAACTGGAACGAAATTGTATGAATTTTTGAAATTTTGTACCCCTAATGCACTACAAACCGTTGAAGCACAAGTTATACAAAGCTCTACAAGAGAATATTTAAGAAAATGAATTGAATTGCAAATGCAAGATTAACAAAATAAATTCAATGCAAAATATAAAAAACTTTGTTGAAACATTTTTGGTATGGAATTGTTGCTAGAACAGATATCGCATTACCTCTCTTAATTTCCAGACTTATACGTTGTTTAAGAAATTCAGTTGAACGACTCTGTTTAGATTTTTCAAAAATTTTCTGTTCTATATCCTTATTAAATGAGTTATTTATTAATGAATTATTTAGACTAGAACTAGAATCAGTGGTATTAAAGAATCCATTCCTTGATTTGTTTAAAATTCGATTGTTATAAAATCATGGCCAACTACTAAAAAGAAAATGCGAAAAAAAAATGGCATCAATTCCGAGATCAATTCAATGAAATGGGAATAAATCAGAAACTGTTAAAGATAGCTATAGGAACATGTAATATCAAAATATGCCAATTTCGATTCTCTATCTCATGCAATATTAAGAACATGGTCATTCCATTTAAAAAACTGAGTTTATAGACTTTGAAGTTTCTTAAATTTGGATCTCCATAGGTGCGGTTGTACGCAACTTAACTTTGTTTTAAGTACAGTAAAAGAAAGCCCTATTCATTCTCTATGCACTGATAAAAATGGGTTGCCATGACTATAACCTTTTTCAAGTAATCAATTATCAAGGTACCATCTGCATCCGCCATTTTTTTTTCTTAAAGTCAAAATAACTTAAAAACCATAAATGGCAGATATGACATATGGGTATCAAAAGAACTGAAATTTCACGTAGAATCCAAAAATGCAATAAAAAATAGGGGTTGCCATTTAAAATAACGAAGTTACTATCTACTTCCGGTGTTTCCGGAAGTGAGGCCATTTTGAAAATATTTTACATCGATTCGGCCTTCAGAGTAACACCTAAGTACAAATTTTCAAAATCCTACCTATTTTACTTTCCCAGAAACTTTTAACTAAAGCTCCCAAAAAAACACCCTGTATAGGTATCTATGGTAAACCTGTTCTCGAGACATACTGTATTAGTTATTTGTACAACTATAGTTTTGAAAGTGATACTTTTTTTCATGAATTTGCAGTTTGATTAATGAGGGCGAAATTTGTTGCATAGTGATCCATAATAACCCACAATTGAATTATTTTATTGACATTCGCGATTTACTGTCACTCAAAAATGGATGCTATTGTTCATAGATAGGACTAAACTCCATGGAAACGCATAGTAAATATCGTGAAAAAAGTACCACTTTCCATACAATTTTTCGTTAAAAAAAGTCCGATCATTTCATCACTATGTAAAAAATTATATTTTACACATTGCAACAGAACAGTTGTTGAAATGCAGAGCCTCGCAATGAGTGTAGGCCGAAGCTTCAGCATTTTACTGGTAAACTACACGGAAGAGGAAACTTTAGCTCAAAATGCATACTCTCGATTAGTGTAGGGGTAAGTTTCTGCATTTTCCCCAACTACTCGTCTCGTTAAACTACACGCAAGGTGAAACTTTTACTCAAATTAAAGATCCTCCCAATGAGTGTTGGCTGATTTCCTAACAATTCGTTAAACTACACGGAAGGGGGGTTCAAAAATTCTTAAACGTCAAAATATTACAATGGATGTTTTTGTCACGCCACTTTAGACAAAAAACGGTTGATTTTTAATATGGTAAGATCTTAGACCAGAAGATGCGAGCGGCGACTTCCGGGATAGGACCGTGTTGTTGAACGAAAAGTCAACGTTTCGCCAACTTTCGTGAGGGAATGTGAATTTCTAAGCATCCTAAACGATGTCGTGTACTTTAAGACGCCAATGGCGATAATAAACAATCACATGCACAAGACAGGTTTGGTTGGTGTTAATATAGATAAAAAACATATACAAACAATTAGCTTCAATTTGAGGTGGGGACCTAGAAGAACCGAGTTTTCCCAGACGTTACCTCTGCGTTTTATACTTCAAAGTATCGCGGGAGCTCCAGTAGTGGCTTGATGATGAGAAATTACTTGGGACTAGTTGTGATATGGTCAGCGATAGTAGGTAGGTAATCTATACGTAATTCAGAATGCAAATTTAATTACTGGATTTCAGTTGCAGTTAAGACTGATTGTTTGTCGGAGTGTATTCCAGTTACTGAATGTGCACATTTGTTTGATTTACTCCGTAAGGATAACCGATCAGAGCGAGATGTCCAAGTCTTGAAAGAAGCTCACTGTGGTTATAAATTAAAAACACCGACCGTTTGTTGTGAAAGAAAACGAGAAGAAACACATACAGGTAAATTTTAAAAAAATGGTATCCTTGGTACATCTTAGAGCGCATCTTCATTTAACTTATAATGTAGATGAAGTTAGTAGATAAATATGGCATGTGACCGGTACTTTAGCATATCAAAAAGGCGAACAATACAAAAGTGATGAAATTTGCATTTTTAGAATTTCTTTGTCAACAATCATAGTGGCACGTTGATTTTGGTTTCGTTACCCTTATGGTGAAGCTGTCTGAGGTACCAATTTTCGTCGCTGTCAGAATATGTTTGTATCCTCATTTAGGGTTCCCCATATTAGTTCGTATATTTTCACAACATAAGAATTTATTGCATATGATTGAAGTAGGGGTAGGAAGAATTTAAAAAAACTGAAAAAATACCTACAATAGTTATTTATGTATTAAGGGCATAATAGTGATGTTTATATTCTCGAGGGCGACGAGTTAAAAAGCTCGAGGGCGTATGGCCCGAGAGCTTTTTAGTCGCCCGAGAGTATAAACATCAGTTTATGCCCGTGGTACATACACAATTTTATGTTTTACAAATAGTTTTCTTCGTCAAAGTAAATATTCGTTTACAAAATAATTCATTATGTTTGATTAAGTATGCGTGGTTCGAATTTGTTAATGTGATTGAAACCATCCAAACGTCAAACGTAATTTTAAATAATTCAATTCATCGTGAATGAGCAAGAAGTTCAGAAACTATACGAAATATTAGTTTGTTTTGTCATTAAGTATAAATGAGTTACTATGGTGATACTTAATGCCCTAGGGCATAAAGTGGTACTTTATGCCCGCGTATCACAGATATAAAATGTGCTATGGTAGGTTAGTACGACATAAAGAATTTAATGTGTTTGCTACATTTAAACAAAAATAAATCTAAGCTTCGGAAAATATTGAAGACATTTTGAAAGATTTATGCAGAATTTGAATATTTGAAATGATTGAATCTGAAGAAGCCGAAAAATTGGAAAAATTCATAGAAATGGGACAATTTCAGAATCATGAAAATTTTGAAGAATCGGAAAAATAGAAGGAAAACCCGCAAAATATTACAAATGTAAAGAATTTGTGGATTCGAATGATCTCAAAGAAACTGAATAATTCAAAAAAATGGAAGGATTAGTGAAAAAGGAAGGTAACGGATCTGGAGTTGAAGAATGAGAAGGAACTGAAGAACCGAATGGGTTGGAAAGTATTGAGATTGATCGAACGAATGACAAAACGAAATAATTCCAAGAACCTGATGGCACCATAACAACAAAGAATCCCATCATAGGTAATCTGATGTAATTGAAGGAACTCGAAAAGTCGTTTATCAACAACATTCCAATGTTGGTAAAACCTGCTACCTGTATCGCGTTCTTTACACGTACACCCACGTTCCCAGATGCAACTCGCTAGGAGAGACATGCAATCTGCAGAGCCATGTCATCAAGAGGGTGGCAATTGACCAGATGAGGTGTGAACTAAACTCATTGTCTGCAACAGATATTTGGTGATACCACTTAGGAATATGAATCTGTAGCCTCAAAATGGAGCCGTCGAACGAAACGCAACATGGACAGTCCAGCGCGCTTACGCAAGAAATGTTGAAGAAACTTAGATGGATGAATCTGCCTACGTAGGTATTAATGACACGGCGTGTTAGCGGAAATTCAATTCTTGTATTCTCATAGACTTTCTGGAGCTCGCCGTTTGAAATCCGTGAACGTCAAAATAAGTACCGACATCCTCATTTAGTGTAGTATTTTAATGCAAATTAGTGCTTGCTAAATTAGTGCAGTTCTTGTAAATGTCTTTAAACATTTTAGATAATGGTCTTTTACCAGGACCTGATGTATGCGGGCTGCAACCATCCGAAAGACTCCTGGGAGGATACGTAACGTCCATTGGTCAATTTCCATGGTTAGCACTTTTGACGGTCGCTAAACGTAGGTGAATAGATATTTGTATCCAAAATCGTCCTGAAACCTTCATTTTCATGCCTACTTTCTGTCAGGAAACTTTAGTTTCCAAGACAAAGGCAGAGTAGACTTAAAGGTCCCATTCACATGCGGATATGTACGGCGGATCTGTACGGCGGACATGTACGCGGGACAGATCCGTATCAATTCGTATGTGTGTATCCGCGTGTTCGGCGTACATATCTTGCTCGCCATCCGTCGATCAGAACGACGAGCACGGACAGCGAGCCGGACAAATACGCACGTGTGTAGTCGTTTCACGGATTTGTTTGCCGGACATAGAATCATCAAATACGTAATTCTTGAAAATATGTTTGGAAATTTAAGAGATCAAAATGGAAATGCGACTCAACCTACTCCAATTAAACAGTCTTTTAAAAAATATTTTGTTTAAATTACTTTGAATATAATGCAGGCGCAAATTGTGCTAAAGATTTAAATGATCTGTTGGTGAAACTGTTAGTCAAATACAATCCGATCAGTTACCTTTTGGGGATATTTTAAATGTAAAATTTGAAGACTACGGTGATACTAACATTCCAGAACACAATGCGCATTTTTGGGGAACAATTTAAATACTGGTAAAGATTGTAGTGCCTTACTCCACCAACCAAGCACACCTAACTACTAATGAAATTATTTTATGCCATTTCCGAGCATATTCTGCCAAGGATGGTGGCTTATTTGAAAGTTTCAGGTATAATTTTCCCGAGAAGCTGAGGGGAGATTGCACAACTGAAGTAAAGTCATATGAGAGTACTTTTTTCGTTTCATGAACCACTGTTTTGACCATAGTCTCTTTTTTTCGTATCTTCAAATAAAACCTCCAATTATTGTAAGTTTCTGATCCATACCAATTACCACAGCACTCAAAAGAACACAACCCAGGGCTAGTACTACAGAACTGAAATAGCGACAGAACGCCGCCTGCTTGTCTATTGAGATTTGTCCGTGATCTGTGTACAGCCATATCCGCCTGTGTGTAGCTCAACACGGATCTGTCCGCCGTACAGATCCGCCGTACATATCCGCATGTGAATGGGGCCCTTAAAGGACAGATCCGTGTTGAGCTACACACAGGTGGATAATATGGCTGTACACAGATCACGGACAAATAGACGAGCAGGCGGCGTTCTGTGACTATTTCAGTTCTGTAGTACTAGCTCTGGGTTGTGTTCTTTTGAGTGCCGTGGTAATTGGTATGGATCATAAGGAGAAACTGACAATAATTTGAGGATATATAGTATTATTTGAAGATACGAAAAAAAAGAGACTGTGGTCAAAACAGTGATTCCTGAAACGAAAAAGTACCCTCATGTGAGAATTAGAAACGAGAGAGTTTCATAATTTGCACAATTTATTAAAATATGTTCGCCCAGCTGTTGAGAGGAATGATACCCACATGAGGCAGTTACCAGTAGAGAGGGGTTAATTGCCACGCTACAGTACTTAGCAACTTGAAGGAATTTTGAAGACCTAACATTCAGTTGTGCAATCTCTCCACAGTTTCTCGGGAAAAATTATTTCATTAGAAGTTAGGTGTAGGTACTTGGTTGGTGGAGTAAGCACTACAATCTTTACCAGTGTCTAAATTGTTCCCCAAAAATGCGCATTTTGTTCTGGAATGTTAATATCACTGTAGTCTTCAAAATTATCTAAAAATTATTTAAACAAAATATTTTGTTAAATGACTGTTTAATTGGAGTAGGTGGAGTCGCATTTCCATTTTGATTTCTTAAATTTCCTAACATATTTTCAAGAATTTCGTATTTGATGATTCTATGTCCGGCAAACAAATCCGTGAAACGACTACACATGTGCGTATTTGTCCGGCTCGCCGTTCGTGCTCGTCGTCCTAATCGACGGATGGCGAGCAAGATATGTACGCCGAACACGCGGATACACACATACGAATTGATACGGATCTGTCCCGCGTACATGTCCGCCGTACAGATCCGCCGTACATATCCGCATGTGAATGGGACCTTTAAGTTTCCTATCGCTTGTCACTTTACTGGCCGTACCTGTCACTTTAATATATTTTTAACTATTACTGATACCTACCTACCCTTTGTCAACTTATTCTCACATTTAAGGGATTAACGTGCTATTTTTTAAGTGATTTTTGGTCGGAATTAGAAAAAATCGCATACGTATGTTATAGATAGTGTTAAACTCATCGGTTATCTTTCAGCCGTTATACGTGGATTCCACTGTGGAGGATCTCTAATAAATAAAAACTATGTCCTCACTGCGGCGCATTGTATTGTCAATATTCCTAAATCTTGGCAGCTGTAAGTTGTACTCGGTACCCGTATCGCAAATAACTTGCTTACTTGTATAATTATGTAGGGTAAGTGTGCGCCTTGGGGAACACCAATTGGATGCTGATCCAGATTGTGAAGAAGAGGAGGTATTGAAAGAAACCAGATACCGTACTCGCAGGTTATAGGTGCCGAAATTTAGTGCGATTGTGGGAAGGTGGTAGAGGTCTCAAAGAATAATAGAAGGCGAGGTTTCAGGTGGCTTTTCATCGCTTTATCTGGAACACCGAATACATCTTCAAAACTAAAATTTTTCCAATGAAGTTTATTATCGTATCCACAATTATAAAAGTTTGCTATCAATCTACATAATTTAAATAGTTCTATAGGTTTAAAGGACAAGACATATTGTTTTTAATGGCAACTATTAATTTTCATTACATATTATTACAGAGTACACTTTTTTGGATAAGCAGCATAAATGTGCACTTTAATAAAATAATAGTAAGTGCCAAAATGTGCCCCCCTTGACAGTGCAGACGTACGCCACTGACCACAATTTTAAAGTGTATAGACTGGTAGCAAACTTTTTATAATTTTTCAGTTTTCCAGACAAAATGTCCACCCTGTATGTTCCCAAACAAAACAAGTGAACTATATAAAATTGTTTATCAATGGAATAGTGTATTAAAAAATGTTAAGTTAAGGGAAAGGGTGGGGGGTGACAGGAGGTCATTAAAACTGTTTTTATCGTTTTACAGTCTGGATGCTCTTATTATTGATGTGAAATTTTGGTGAAATGTTCTTATAGTAATGCGTACCGATTTCACTATTTGCAATCGTTATACCTCAAAAAAGTATATAAAAGAACTAGGCAAAATGAGTCATGTCTTTTAAGATTACAGATATTACCTACTCGTGTCATCTCTTCGAGCACGTCCACTATAACAATACTTGGCAATAGTCCAAAATCAGTTCCGGATAAACCCCTACTGCCCTTTCAAATGTCACTTGGGAGTTATTTCGACGCCTATAACTAGCGAGCACTTAACATATTTTCTCTCTTCTTACTTACACAGGAAGCTTTCAGTATTGCGCAGATTCGCCCATCGATGTACCCGTCAGTGAGGTAATAGTTCACGCAGAATATGCAGAAAATGAAATAGGAAAACCCAATGACATAGCACTGGTTAGGCTAGGTTATCCAGTGACATACACAAGTAAGACTAAAATTTACATACGTGTATCCTTTCACGTTGTATTCTTAGGATATATTTCTCCAATTTGTCTTCCAACGAAACAAGAAATTATGAATATTGGTTTCAATGGGACATACATGAAAGTTGCTGGTTGGGGCAGAAGCGAAAACGACTCACAAAGTAACATAAAACGACAGCAAAAGGTTAGTAACTGAGAAAAAATCTGAGAAAACGCTAAACTAACCATTTTCAGATACCAATTACTCCAGCGGATGCATGCAAGAAAATTTACAAGAAAGCCGGCGCTACCCTAACTGACAAGCAAATTTGTGCCGGTGCCGGCCAAAGACCAAACCTTTGTTTGGGAGATAGTGGTGGGCCTCTTATGTACAGCGATGAACGACTCGTTTGGTATATATTTGGAATCATGTCTTTTGGGCCAGCTGCCAGATGCAGAATGCGGGAAATACCGGAAGTCTACACAAATGTGCCAAAATACCTATTGTGGATTGAACAAAATATAAAACCTTAGCGATTAGTAATTATAATTATAAGTATCTACAGAAACAATATTTAAGATAATGAGGTCCTTTTGTCGTACAACCCGCCCGCTCTTGCTCCACCTGCACATAACTTAAACTGTCCCTAGTTCAAACTTGACACTATAGGTACTGGCCTACATATCATGGTAGGTCAATATTGACAATAAATCCACATGAATAGTACACAGAATGACAAAAACTCACTTCGTCTCAATAAGAGGCCGAAGAACCCCTTTTTTTAAGGAGCCTACTCTTAGGTGATATCCCCCCACCACAAATCCCGGTCCATTTCGTCTCTCTTTTTAGCGCATTTCCACAAAAATAAAAAAAATGCGCTATTGTGGCCACTTTGTCCGTCCGTCCGTCCGGCCGGCCGGCTGTCCGTCCGTCCGTCCGTCCGGTCGTTTTGCGACGCTACTAGTTCTTTATCTTAAGAGCTATTGTTCTACTTTTTTCGCTATTTGGTTCGTTATGGTGTCTAGTCTTGCACCAAGGAAGGAATTTTTTCTGCGTTTATTGCTAAAAAAGTTATTGTAAAAAAACCAACAAACCGTTTTTTACATGTTCCATAATTTTACACTTTTGCCGTTTATTAACCATCCTAGAGATCATTTATAATTTTGTATTGTTGTCTGTCGTCTGTCTGTTGGTCTGTCCGTCTGTTCCTTTGCCTGTCTGTCCCTCTATCTGTCCGTGTGAACGATAATTTTGTTTAGAAATGTCCGATCGCTTTTACATCTCCGTTAGTTATGAACTGAATTGCATGAAATTCAATATGAGCATAGCCTTAGCCATATAATACCCAATGCCAAAGGTTGAGTCGAATCGATTCAAAATTCACAGTGCCCTTTTCGCATCTCGACCATTTATAAACCGAATTGCAAACTTTTTTTCTTATAAAAGTATTTAAATGAAATTTGATACATAGGCACTTGGAATAAAGGAAAATCTAAAATTTGGTTTTGCGCATGCGCAGTGCCAACTTTTTTATTTATGGAAGAATTTAAACGAAATTTGATACATAGCACTGAATAAAGGAAAATCAAACGCCAATTTCAAAATTTGGTTTTGCGCATGCGCAGTGCCAACTTTTTTATTTATGGAAGAATTTAAACGAAATTTGATACATAGGCACTTGGGATAAAGGAAAATCAAACGCCAATTTAAAAATTTGGTTTTGCGCATGCGCAGTGCCAACTTTTTTATTTATGGAAGAATTTAAACGAAATTTGATACATAGGCACTTGGAATAAAGGAAAATCTAGCGCCAGTTTAAAAATTTTATTTTGCCCATGCGCAGTGCCAACTTTTTTTATCTATGGAAGCATTTAAGTGAAATTTGATACTTTAGCGCTTGGAACAAAGGAAAATCTAACATTAGTTTCAAAATTTAGGTTTGCGCATGCGCAGTTCCAACTTTCTTATTTCGAAAAGCATTGAAATGGAATTCTTCTCATAAACTGAAATTGAAGTAGCACGTCAACAATGGATTGTCCATGTGCAACGCTATCTTTCATATTTGTGGCCGGATTTTTACGATTTTAACAGAAGTTGCATCTTACAAATGGGAAATGATTAATGAATGCAAGTGGAAATGCGCTTTATGTAAATCGTTTACGATTACTTTTTAACTTGTTCTACTTCCTTGCTTCCCCCCACCTTCCGTCTCAACAATTTCCACTCGTTTTATATTGATTATGAAAACTGCCGCACATTTCCATCAGGTGCATAATTTTATTCAACAAACGAACATTGTTACTAATATACCAAGTGATTGATATTTTTTTGGAGAGACTCTAGAACGACAACTGACGTTGATTTTTCGTGTCACTAAAATAAAATAAAATTATTACGTATCCACAGACCTACCAACATTTGTGACCCAATTCTCCTGAAATTTCAGTTGAAGGTACTCTATATAAAAGCAAATTGAAATCACGGATCAAAGAATAACTAATTTTTTCAGACAAAGACTGTTAATGTGGAAAAGTGTTTTTTTGTAAATCGTTTACGATTCCTATTGAATTTGTTATTTCCACTCAATCTTTAATATGTAATACATTGTATTTTCAGGATGCCATTTTATTTGCTACATCTTATTAGTACTGGCCTTAATGATATATATTTTATTTGTTACTCAGTGGTAAACGTTGATTAACAAGACAAAACGCAAACGGGTAAACGTCATCTTTAAACGCTACTGACTTGTAAAACTGACAGCTGACGTGTAAAAATTTTACACGTTAGTAATCTAGTAATTTCATTGGCCAGAATTAATGCGAAGTCTCTGTTACATGGATAATATGATATTTTAGACATTTCTTCGAGATCAATTTAAGAACTAATTATTTACGTTTACAAATGAGTAACAAATAAAATATTGTACATTATACGCCATGTAATAGTTTTTACTGGCTCTAGGAGATGACAGGCTCGCCTGACGGCTCGCCAGTCAACTTCTCCTATCACCAGTAAAAACTCACTTACCTGGCTAATAATGTAAAATACTATTTCAGATAGAACTATTACATTATTATCTATCGGTAAATTGCTTCCTTTCGTGTCAAATCGTCGACCTTTCAGTGCACAAAATTACGTCAGCGTATTCAGCGTTCAGGGGAGGGTACCCAACTCAGTCCATCATACAACACAAGCATCCATAACCGAATACGGATTCGAACTACACACGACCGAGAATTTCTTTCCTTGATCAGTACCTTTTTAAATATTGTTTAAAAAGTTGATGTTGATGAGTTGATCATGGTTAACCGGAGAGGAAACGTCAGACAAAATTTAAAACTAGCACCTTGCAGAGAAATTTATTTTTAAATATCTTTTTAAATAACCAGTAAAAAATAAAATCGATTTTGAAATTTTTTTTTCAGGATATCTCCGAAAGTTGGATTTTTTTCAGTTTCAAAAGGGAATTTTGTTAAGCATCAAAATACCAAATTTAAACTACCAATCCATCTCTTACAGTTTCCGAGATCCCCATGGTGGCTCTCGAATTTGCATCAGCCTGTACCTATGTACCTACATTATTAACTCTAGTACTTACGTATTCATATTAGGATTTTTGATGAAAAAAAAATGATATGCCATCCCAAGGGGAGTATTCCCTTTAGGTGCAATTTAAGTATTTAAAACATTTCCAACTTTCTTGGAATTAAATATCCTACAAGTTCTGTCACTAAACAAACTGTGGATGATAGTAAAAATGAAATGAAACGGTTCTGAAATGGATGGTCGGGCTAGAAATGATTTGGCGTTGCAAAAATTACATAAATTTTATTTCGTATTATTTCTGAGGGAACTTTAGACGTCAAAAGCGATACTTATCACACTAGCCAACTTTGACCTGTGTCGCGATAATTTAAATATATTTATAAACATTTTTAAAGACAACGGACAGCATAAACACCAATTTCAAGTGGGGAGAACTTATAACCTAGAACCGGATTTTCCAAACTTTCATGGTATAAGAGTACGATTGCGTTTCACATTTCAAAATATCGCGAGTGCTCAATGGTTTTCATAATGAGAAAATACCTGGAGCTGTTTTTTCTATGGTCATCATTACTAGGTAGGTAATTTATTCCTAATTATCTATGCACATGTAATTACTGGATTTCAGTTGCTGTAAATGCGGCTTGTTCATCGAACCAAGAGTGTATCCTAATTAACAACTGTCCACATTTGTATAATTTACTACTGCAGGACAAGTTATCGGAGCAAGATGTCCAAATTTTGCAAAAGTCTCAGTGTGGTTACGACAAAAAAGCAAATAAACCGACCGTTTGTTGCCAAAGAAAACCAGACGCAGTACCCGCAGGTAAGTTATTATCATCCTTGACAGATCTTAACGCATACCTACTTCTTCAGGGATAACTTCTTTTTTGATAAAAACGCAAAATGTACGTACACATATGATTTAGGTAAGGTTAGTGTGTAAATACTTGTTGGTCAGTGTAGACAATTAAAAATTCACTTTTTTATGAGGATTTGTGTAGCCTTGACTCACTACAATCACGCATCGTAGAGGCCTGGTGCGTGTCTTGCTGCAATACCTTTCGTTGAATTCTCATTACATCACATCAACCAATTTCCTACGTTAGGAATCAAATATGTACTTTTGTGTTTTGTTGCTCATTCACTTGCTACCGATTTGCTTCTTGAAAATTGTTGAAGAAACTACTTAATAAGTGTACTTAACACCATAATATTATCGTTATACTAATTAGTTAAAAACGTTACCCTATACCTGCAGAAAACCCACTTTTCTGTCCCAAATGGGCGATTCTTTCCATTTATAAGTGGCTGATGTACTTGAACTTTTCAAAAAATAAAATACAGAGAAACCAGTTTTCGCATCGCATGTAAATTGATTTGTACAAATGTACATCTCCCTAGGTAAAAACAATTTTCTGAAGCGCGTATTTGCAGTCAATATTTCAGTCGATTCCCCAATAATATTTAATTTGCAATTAGCATGGAATTATTGTACTTACTTGAAAAATGAATTTTTGAAACAGTTCTTCCACTGTTTAGAATGAAAACGACACGCAGTGCAATTTGCTCAGGATTCCAACACGCACATGAGTAGAAAATTGTTATTGTCAATTCTGTGCCGTTAAAATTTAAATCCAAGGTATCTATGTATCTTGAATCCTTTTGAAAAATTAGAATACCGTATTACTGGTGATTTGTGCGTCTCTCCGCCCTACGTTCCCCCATTGCCACATTAATACAGCAAAAATAATTTCCAAAAATTACTGTCTTTCCTGTACCACTTTTTTCTATGCCATAAACAGCATTGTAAAGCAGTAATAAAAAGAATCATGCTAATTGTGCTCGTTTTGTACTGAATTTTGCTACACCTTCCACGCTTTAAACCTCAAAATTAACCTCAATAGTTAATTAGTTTACTAGCCTGAGCTAGCGGACTACTGCGATCAGTGTTTTTTGGACATTTTAGCAAATGTCGACATTTAAGATCATTTTAAGCAACTTTCAAAGATTAAAATTTTTTCTGTCTGTATGTATGTACGTACGTTTGAAATTTTCCAAGATAACGGCTCGACGGATTTTGTTCAAATTTTGGATATGTATATTAGGCATAGGAAAAACGAAATGTAACGGGACGAATTTTTGCAAAACAAATTTGGAACCCTGCAATGGCATCGAACTTTTTTTTCAAATAGCAATCCAATATTTTTATTAAATTATTCGAAAGATTTTAAGTTTTTGTGTACACCTTAAAATTATGCTAGGTTTTATTACAAAAAAAAACGAAGAGAAAAGTGTGAAAAGTTAAGTAACTCAACTTTTTCGGCGTAATTTTGATTTCGTTATAATTTTGGTAGCGTACATTAGGCATAAAGAATGTAAGATTATAAAAAAAGGTTTTTTAATATCTGGTTTGAGGTGTTCTATCAAGAATTTTGCCCCTGATTTTTTAATCATTAGAACGATGACCTCAAATCGCTATCAAAGTTCACAACTGATTTGCGCGTTTTTGTGTATCGATTCCTACGTTGTGGGCCAAAGTTACAGACTGTTTAATTTACATTAGCATTAATTAATATTAATATAAAAAGATAAGGGAATTTTTAATTAACACCTGAACGCTAAAACTTGAAGTCATCTATCACTAACGAATAGAAACTCGTAAATTATTTTCGTTGGTAGATATGTTTTATGTTGTACCTACGTTATACAGGGTGATTCCTATAGTACCTGCCACCGTTTGGGAGCGTGTAGGTGGTGCGTAGGGGAGTATTTTGATATAGGACACTTGGGGTCGGAAATCTAAAATAAGGGTGCCAGAGCCAAATTTACCTTCTGGAATTTCGCGCCTGTATGTAGGCAACCCAACCGACCGACGTTTCGCGCGGAGCGATGCAGAGCGAGTTAGCGCGAGGAAGCGACATGGGAGGGAAGGAGGGAAAACGACAGTCAAAAGCAATAACGTTTACAAGTGTTCAACGTGGCCCCCGTTGTTCTCAATGCACTTCCTACATCTAGCCAACCACTCCCCTCGAACTCGCGTGAAGACTCCTATGTCCTGGCGAACAGCCTCTCCGGCCATGACCACGCGCGCAATTAAGTCCTCTTCGGATTCGACGGGAGTCTCGTAGACGTGCGCTTCCATCACACCCCACAAGTAAAAATCTAATGGGGTGATGTCGGGCGAGCGGGCAGGCCACTCCACCGCACCTCCACGGTCGATCCATCTGTCCGGATAGGTTTGGTCCAAGTGTTCCCTCACCTGCCGCCCGTAGTGAGCAGGGCACCCATCGTGCTGGAACCAGTGGTCCCAGTACAAGTTCACTGGAACATTCATTAAAAGTTCTGGTAGCACCTCGCGCAGGAAAATCAGGTAATTATGGGCATTTAGACGCGGAGGGAGGATGTAAGGCCCCAGTAGGTTGTCCCCCAGGATGCCAGCCCAAACGTTTAAAGAAAAAAACACCGCCGGCCGGTTGGGTTGCCTACCTACAGGCGCGAAATTCCAGAAGGTAAATTTGGCTCTGGCACCCTTATTTTAGATTTCCGACCCCAACTGTCCTATATCAAAATACTCCCCTACGCACCACCTACACGCTCCCAAACGGTGGCAGGTACTATAGGAATCACCCTGATGTATATAATATACCTAAGTTTAACGAGGATTTACAGACTAAACTCATATGTGGTTCCTGTAGCAGTTGGCTGCTATTTTCCCTTCTATTCTAAATACTCGATTCTATTCACTGAGGAGCCCGACTGAGCAACACACCAAAGGCCCATGGTGCCTACCTCCTTTTTTTCGCAACCAGGTTCAGAGCGCGTTCCTCTCAATAAAGGATATAACCCTGTTTAGCCGAAGTTGCTTCACCCTTCCGGTTTCAGATAGCTATTCCGCAGTTCGCTGGCCCCTAAATCAAGCTTATCCTATTAAACTCACCTAATCTATCTAGAGTTCGCCTGCATTCAAGCGGCGTAGCCGATCGGAACCTGTCTGCTGACAGCGCCGCCGGCTCACTGCATACGCATATATGCTTATTACTGTAACTTCTACGGAGGTTCTCCTAGGCCCAGGTCATGATGGCACCTTTCTGTTAGGCACCCGTCTGTAAACCACATGAGCCCCTCTGGTTTGAGGAACGGGCCATCCGAGTTCAGCCATTGCTCCCTTTTCGGGAGAACTTTACAACTCTTTGGTCTTAGTAAGACAGCCCGGATCACGTCCCTTTTGGCGTGGAGGGGATCGAATCTGATGGTTTTCTCCCAAATGCTCTCGTACCCAAGGCTGCCTCGATCCTTCCATTCGTCCCAATCGTTTAACCGTATGGAAACCTTCCAAGCCTCTGCCTCCACAGCTAAGTGTAAAAGCTCTACTCCCAGAAGTGCCTTCATGGCCAAAGGTGGCGTGGATTTTTATGACTTCAGTTACTCCCAGACAGGCGAGTCTCTGAACCTTTCCTAGCTGCCTCCTGTAGCACATACATGTGCGCTCAACAGTAGTATAGTTCTTATCACAACAGTATAAAGTAAATTTGGAAGCTTCCCAGTTATGACCAACGCTCCGCCTGTCACTGTATATAAGCTCCGTTCGCGTTCAGAGTGCGATGGAGCCCGTTTAGTTCTGCAGAAGAGCCCGGAATACCCCGTCCGGCCCTGCACTATTAAATGGGCTGAACGCGTTAACCGCCCGTCTAAGAGATCCCTCAGTAACCACCCGTGCAGCTACTTTTCAGTCGATCGGTCTTACACTGGCCCGGGTAGCTCCTTCTGGTGGGTCCGAAGCTACGTAGTCCCCAGAGCCTGGAAAGTGTGTTTCCAGGAGACATGTGAGACCCTTCCTCGCGATCTTCCGCATGGAAACCTCAGTGTCTCGACTTTTGCCCCTGGTCTTTTAAAAAGATCTTACGAAGTTTTTGAACTTCGGGAAGACCCTCCATATTACTACCGAAATTCGTCAATGATCCTGGTTTAGATCTTCCAACATGATCCTTGTACCTACGCTGAGTAATCTTAAGATCTTCCCAGGTCGCAGACAGCTTAGTTCGCATGGCCCTATTAAGGAACCGGCGAACCTCCTTAGGGACCTTTTCAAGGTCTGAGTTCCATCAAGGTGTTCTCTTCTTTGTTCAAAAGGTCCACAGTTTACACCTGTCCTCATGTGCCGCTGTTATGGCGTCGCTTACCTGTCACCAATCCTACTTTCCGACTAAGCAAACGTGGCCCCAGTCAGTGGATCGGGGATTCCGACACCTACAGGGCCCGCAGTGGTATACCAGATTTAGTTGGAAAAAAATGTGCCTGTTGTCCGAACGTGATGGTTCATCAGTCACTCTCCAATTCGTTATCATGTGAGGTATTGAAAAAGAGTCCCACGTCAGATCAATAACCTCTAACGCCTACGCGTTGTGACGAATGTAGGGGTTGCTCCCTGATTCAAAATAATTTCAATTAGTTGTTTGCAAGTGCCCTTCGCGTTCGTGTCCGTGTTTAAGTTTAAATACCCTATGCAAGATGCAGAATCAGATGAATGTAAATGTGCATAACTGAGTATGGATATCTGAAAAATTGGTTGTAATAATGAAGGCGATTACGGAGGACAGTAAAGAATGTAACTTCCTTTTATGGAAATGCAATAAAATTGAATGGTAGAGAGATCCAAAACATTTTTTTTTGTAAATAACTCAAAACTTGCAGTAGACTATTTAGGTTTTTTTAAAACAAAGATTTTTTTTCGAAGTCTGTTCCGCAGTTCGAAGACCGAGGTAGTACAAGGGGCCCGAGTTGGAGGCCTAGGTACGCGGCTACCCTCCTAATCGTAATCCAGAATCCAGAATGCGTCCACCCATTTGCTGAATAATCCATGGCCACTAATACTTTTTGCCGCTATCAGTTTCCGGAAAATGTCCGGCTATATCAAATTCTTAAAAAAGGGCTTCCTACGTTATACTGTCTTATAGGGGCTGTTGTTCGGCTATGTGGACCCTAGTCTCCTCTAGTGAGGAATATTTAAATCACAAGCACGGTGTGTAAGCATACTTATGTTGACGTTTGCAAATACGTTTGAATAAAGCAAGAAAAAATAAAACTAAATCTAAATCTAAATCTTACTGCGTGTGCAAGTTGTGTATTTGCGACCCCTTTCTTCAACGCCATTTTTATAATTCGCCCAATGACACTTTTGCCTTAATTATTCCAGCGCCTTCTTTGCTCCAAGGTGACCACTACTAACTCTCGTGCAGCTGTTTCAAGACTTCTGGAGCTCTACTCCCCGGAATCAACAACTGTGACCTCTGTTGTTGTCCATCGTTACTCTCCAGTGCGCGCTTTGGAACATCGTTCTCAATCACCAACGAATGCCATTGCGCCCAGTGCGCCTTCACATGTTCAGAGGCCAACACAGCTGGCTGCGAAGAATCGTCCACCAACGTCGTTCTACACATCCGTGCCATCTCTACTTCTGCCCTACTAGAATGCGTACAATATCGCGGGCAAGGTCTTCTTGACAATGCATCAGCATTCCGATACTTTGTACCTTGGTGAAGTCGTATTCTTGTATTCCTTTGATCCTTCATGCTCTGGCCTTTTGGATTTTTGAAATTTAGTAATCATCTTGACTCTGTACCAACTGACCTTAACGTAAAGTTCCGTACATGTATTTTGCAGAAGTGCTCGATGGATTTGACAGCCGCCAGTCCTCTGGTCGTATAACACAATAATTTCGTTCCGGTTTAGAGAGCACCTTACTAAAGTATCCAACAACTTTCTCCTCTCCATCTTTTTTTAGGAACAAAACATCTCCAATTGTTACGTTACTGGCGTCGGTATCCAAAATGAATCCGATCTAAGATAACACAGTATCAACTCCAGAAAGTAGGGCACTTTTTTGGGGAAAATTTTTAGATTGACTGACCAAATCCTTTGTAAGGCCTTTCGCAGTTTCTCCATGTGGTATTCGAAGGTAATTTCCGCCACAATGATGTCATCCAGGTAGACTAAACAAGTCTTCCACCATAACCATTTTAGTACATTTTCCATAATACGTTCAAACGTCGCGGGTGCGGTACAGAATCCAAACGGCATTACTGTAAAATGCCATCCTGATCCGATCATAAATACCCTCTTCTTCCGATGGCTCAATAACACTTTCAGATTCGATGTTAAATATGTTTTAACTTCATATTGGATATTGGAAGAAAGTTGAAGTTTATCCAGACACAATAACCCGCTCAATCACGTTTGAAATTCTTGACCAATCTTAAGTCTTTCGGATTACAGTATCGTCGAATTTCGTATGCATGTGAATTCATCTTCAGGAGGGCTTGAGAAATGTTTGTGACTGACTTAGAGCTCAAGCTGCGTCTTAAGCCGTAGATAGAGGTTCAGTCGGTCTGGTGCAACAAATATCTTAGTAAGTTTTTTACGGGTGCAATTCCCTTCAATTGTTAGGCCAACAATATTAGGCGGTTTAACATACTCGTAAAAGCATGTCTCTGTCGTGAACTGTAAGTTTGTTTTATTTTCTCAGATACCAGTCTTTTACCAGGCACCGATGTATGCGGACAAGATCCAAGCAAAAGAATTGTTGGAGGACAGTTAACTGAACTTCGTCAATTTCCATGGCTAGTGCTTTTGGAGTATGACAAACGTAGGTGAACAAACTTTTCTTATACATTTCCTACATCGATCGCACTCTTTCAGCAACCGGGCGCGGATTCCATTGTGGAGGGTCTCTAATAAATAAAAACTATGTACTTACTGCTGCACATTGCATTGTAAACATTCCAAGATCATGGCGATTGTAAGTTGAACTTGTACAGATCTTGACTAATACGGTTTTTAGAGTAAGTGTGCGCCTTGGTGAGCACCAATTAGACGCTGATCCAGACTGCGAGGACGGCGACAGACCAGGTTTTGAGGATTGTGCAGATTCGCCCATAGATATACCAGTAAGTGAAGTAACACTTCATCAGCAATATGCTAGACGTGAAATAGCAAAACCGAATGACATAGCCTTAGTTCGGCTAAGTACTCCCGTTACGTACTCCAGTAAGTATAACGTTAATTAAACCGATTCCGTAATACACTTTTTTTAGAGTCAATTTCTCCAATTTGCCTGCCAACGAAACCAGAATTTTTAAATAATCGCTTCAATGGGGCAGTTATGACGGTTGCTGGTTGGGGAAGAACCGAAAACAGTACACAAAGTAACACAAAGCTAAAGCTAGACGTTAGTATCTGAGAGAAAAATAAAAAAATAGTTAAAGCGAGCACTTTCAGGTACCAATTACTCAAGATGCCGAATGCCGGCAAATTTATGAAAGAAACGGCGCCACTCTCACTGACAAGCAAATTTGCGCCGGCGGTCGAAAGGGGCAAGATTCTTGTTCTGGGGATAGCGGCGGACCCCTCATGTATCTTGAAAGACAACCTGATTATATTTGGTATCTTTTTGGTATTGTGTCTTTTGGTCCAACTAGATGTGGAACGGCAGCCTTCCCAGGAATCTACACGTTTGTGCCAAAGTATCTATCCTGGATTGTAGAAAATATGAAATCGTAACATATACATCTTTTTAATTTGTTTAATCATATAATTTAAAATATAACAAGCCATTAAATAAACAGCGAACCAATCCAATTTTATGAGCTTATAGGTAGCATAATCACATTAAAATGGTTTCAAATTGTTTCGTACGGTCTCATGACGCGTTTTACAAGTTAATAAAGAAGAATGCTAATTATTGCCATATAATTAATAATTGGAAATATACGTAAATTACTCTGAATACCTACTGTAATACTTATAATACAGGCCATTTGTGTTCAAACGGGCATCTAGCGGGAAAGTTGTGGGGTAGTTGTGATTTCTTTGATTCTATATGTTTTTTGGGGTGCTGAATCCGAATCTGAGGTTTGCCAACAAAATTTCTTGACGCAACATTGAAAAAAACACAAAAGAAGTTGAAAAAGATATTTTTTTGGCAGTTTTGTGCTTACAACTTGAAAACTATCAACTATTCGAAAATAACCTTCCTATTCAAAATGAAAGTACATAAAATTTCCTACAGACCCCACTATTTAGTTTTTTTCCTCGATGAACCGTTCGGGCTCGAGCGCCAGTTGAAAATTGGGGTATTTCAGCTGTATCCGCAAATACTCATCTTTTATTATTATTTTATTATTATTCTGTGCAAATATAAATCCGTACTTTTCATTGTCTACCGGTCTCCTGAAAAGATTTTATAACTGTTCCGTCTGGTATAAAACTCTCCCACTCCTTCGCAGATGAGCCAAGGCCCATTACGTCACCGTGTACCTGCGTTTGCAGTCTGGAGACCCTCCTCCCATTCACATACATAAACACCCTCACAAAGTTACACAGATGGACGGACGGACAGTCCAAAATCATGAACTCGCTTTTTGTCGGTGGTTAACATGTAAACAGAAAAGAAATAAATCGGGTTCAGTTGTTAGCAGAAAAATTTAAGCTGGGGTAATTGCGTTACCCCACTCCGAGGAGTACGTGATTCTTCAGAACACCGGAGCAAGAGGGATAATGCCGTTGAATAGGAAATCAATATACCCCTTTTGCCATTTGAATTTTTTGAATTAATAATGACCACAGCGCCAATTTCCCAAATTCAACAATAATTATCCAAACATGCTAAGGTAGGGTTTTGTGATTTCTTTATCTGGTTCGGAAGAGAGTGGGAATAGTTTTAGATGGCACAGTATAAGTATTATATATTATAAATGATATAATAATATGATATAGTGTTGTTCGTTAGAAATTAACTTTTCATACAATTCTGGACTACAATAAACACCTTGAATGTTATAAAAATGAGAAAAAAACACCCTTACATATATGAAATTCAAATAAGAGCCGGTAAATGCAAGGAATTCACTTATTGACAACGCTTAATATTAATTTAGGGTTTTAGTGCGAAAAAACTATGTTCTGTGGAGATAGCCGAAATACGCCAATTTTCAACTGGCGCTTGAGCCCGAACGGTTTATCGAGGAAAAAACTAAATAGTGGGGTCTGTAGGAAATTTTATGTACTTTAATTTTGAATAGGAAGGTTATTTTCGAAAAGTTGATAGTTTTCAAGTTGTAAGCACAACACTGCCAAAAAATATCTTTTTCAACTTCTTTTGTATTTTTTTCAATGTTGCGTCATGAAATTTTGTTTGCAAACCTCAGATTCGGATTCAGCACCCCAAAAAACATATAGAATCAAAGAAATCAAAACTACCCCACAACTTTCCTGGTAAAAATACAATTTAACTGGATTATTATTGAAGTAAGTACTTATTTGAGCCTCTACGTGCAATAAAGAGGGAATGGAGGTGATTAGGGCGTCAGAATAAAAAATAAAATAAAATAAAAAATTAAGTAGGTACACAAAATACAAAAATACATAAAATAATAATGTTGAAATCGTCCTTCTAGAAGTGAATCTTGTCCGTGAACAAGTCCGTGCAATAATAGTTGTGTGTGCAGTAGAGATATGTATCGCTATTTATAAAAAATTGTATTTTTTACGAAATAGAAAAATTATATTGCTAAATCCTGGTTGATTCAGCCACTTACTTTGTTAAGACAAACTAAAAAAATTCAAAATTTAGTTGTATGAAATGTTCTATGCGGGCCCAACTGGAGGAATTTCTTTTCCCTGTGTTCGCAGTAGCTATGGCGCTGTGCGATACCGTGAAGAAAATGAAGACCAGTATTCAAACGAATGAAAGAATTTAAGAAACGTGAAGGATCAGAAAAAATCAATGCATTGAGGTATTCGAAAGGTTCCAAAAATATAAATAATTTAAAGAATCTTTGAAACATATAAAGAATCCGAAAAATCGAAAAACTTGAAATGATAGAATTTAAGGAATCTGAAATCTGAAAAAACAAAGAATCCAAGCAACATCATGAGGTGCATGAGAGATGGCCCTTTAGTGATCTCTCTCTGCTAATGTACGTATGTTCCTCCAGATCTGAAAAACGGTTGGGGATTTTTAAAATCGGTTTTGTGAACTCGCTTTATTATACAATGCATTAAATAGGCCCGCTCGGTAAAATTAACGAGGTTTCAGGTACATTTCTTTGTCTACCTATTGTAATTGTACCAGTATATATATTTTTTACATAGTGATGAAATTATCGGACTTTTTTTAACGAAAAATCATATGGAAAGTGGTACATTTTGTCACGATTTTTACTATGCGTTTCCATAGCATCCATTTTTGAGTGACAGTAAAATGTCAATAAAATTATTCAATTGTGGGTTATTATGGATCACTATGCAAAAAAAATTCGTGTACAACACGTGTTGAAAGTGTCTTTTTTCCATGAATTTGCTTGATTAACTCGGGCTTCGCCCTCATTAATCAAACTACAAATTCATGAAAAAAAGTATCACTTTCAAAACTAGTTTTACAAATAACTATTATAGGTTTATATATATATCACTTCCAAGAAACACTCTAACTTTCGTATAATTATGAACCGATTTCGACCAAACTTTAAGAGTTGGTGTAACTCATAAATATCTCGGTCAAGTTCTTGGATCAGCCAATGCTGCCACATTGGAACAAAATGACCGAAAGAAATCTACCTACACCTGATCGGTCGAGCCGAAAGGGATTTTTTTGGGCTCTTTTCTTCTTTTTTTCGAAGTGTGGTGACGGTCATGAACGAAACGGTTTTAGATTTGAACCTAAAAACCAGATGGATTCTAAAAAAAACGGTGGCATCCGGAGAATGATAAAGATCTCAAGGTACCCACTGATGGATGGAATAAAAGAATCTGAATAAACGGAAAAATGGGAAAACCGAAGATCACAAGACCAGTGCCGTTAGCTACGTAATTACGGACAAGGGACCTCCTACTCGCACGAGTGTGGAGGAATTAAATATAGGTAGAGATTTTAATAATTTGACTTTAGTGCATTGTTTCTGTTGTTATTGTGCGTCATAAATAATAAATTCAGCCAAACAAGTTAACTTTTTAACCTCCACTTCCAGGGCCTACGCAAATCTCCGGTAACTTAATATTTTTGCGAATGGGGCCTTTATAAAATGAGATAGTGAGGGGAATGGAAGGTTTATTTGTTTATTACCATACTGTAACTTGCGATGCGAATCTGGAAAAACAACATTCATTTTCTAGATTGTTTACGGTAGAGCTACGTGCTCAACGTAGCGTACGCTACGTCATTGTCTACCTCCGCGTCCGTGCATAAGGTTGTGCTTTCTTTATTGTCCTCTTTCTGCTTGCGTCATACATTACCTGTACACTTTAATAACACATAAAGAAAAACCTATATTTGAATGAGAGCTAAACATTAAATCAATAAGATTAGATTTTTATAAGTAAAACCACGTTAGCCATACCTACGCAAAAATGTAAATCCGTTAGTTCTCTCTTTCTATGTGATATTCTCAGAAGAAATTAAGGAACAGGAGGTAAGTTATTCTGCGACTTTTGAAGATGTAGGTCTTTAACCTTCACACACATTGCGAATTTGTTTTTGAATTTCTTCAGGATGTTAAGTGCGTTCTTCGAATTACTTCAATTCTTCGGCTTGGTTCTCTGGATGCTTCGGATTTAAGTCCTTCAAATTATTAAATTTTTTCGCAATTTTCTTTGGACCCCTCTGGCATTCTTTAGGTTCATCAGATTCTTCGATTCCCCCAAGGAATTGATGTGATTTTATTATAGATAAGTACATGGCATAGTAGAAGCTTAAATGAATTGCGTACTTAAAAGGAGATTAACGAACCTTACGAAAAAGCGGACATGCACAATTATAGGGGCCGCAATGACTAAAGTGAATCGGAGTTCACGCTCCTTCTGTCTAAGGAGCCGAATATTTAAATTTCTGTAGATGTATGTTCTGTCCATAAATTAATAGTAACTTTGAAAAAACTGATTTCTGAAGAATGGCCTTATGTCACAATTTGTATCGGGTATGCATGCAGTTCAAGATCAGTTCTTGAAAACTGAAAAGGCACAGTACATTTTTAATGTTGGTACACATATGTTGTTGAATCGGCGGACCAAAAAGTTACATTCCAAAAACTGCCCAAACCACCGAAAAAGGGGTTCTTTTATCATTCTTGTTAAAAAGACCATATTTATATACGGGTTTTAAAAAATTTACTGTATTAGTAAATATTATTTAAACCTCAGGCAACCATGCAGAATTATAATTGCGCATGCGCAACCTAACTTTTGCATTAGCCCAATCTCCATTTTTTTTAGTTTAGTTTAGTTTTTTAGTTATTTCATTGAAATTTTGTACGCAGGTACCTCAAATACAAGTAAAACTAATGTCGAATCAAATAAATTGTTTTACGCAAAAAATTTGTTTTACAAACTGTGCTGATCAGGTGGGACAGAATCAACCCCTTAAGGTGCGTTGTAAAAATGATGTATGCGTGAAGATCTCGAGGATCATTTGTACCGGATTTTTATAAATACTTTTCCCCTTCTTTCTGCTTTCTTTTATATTTCGCATCGTTTTATATTTAGTGTTGTCATATTTTTTTACGTAGGGAACTTACGTGGCGAAAATACGTCTCCAAAGTGTAATGGCGCAATTGGGTAAAGCTTTAATATTTTATTATTGTTAATAATAGTAGTATTACAATCCGAATATTAAACATTAAAAAAAATCTATTGTTTACGACAGTGAACTTGTACTGCTCACCTACACAGGGTCGCATTGCGAAGACTCTAGTTTTCCTTTAAACGGAATGTGTTGCAATGCTCTTCTGGTTTCCAAATAAGCCCAGGTTGGGATTTCCCTGGATAACGACCCTTAAAAGGAATCTTCCGAGCGATTCAAACAGCTCTTTAGTCTTCCGGCAACCACGAAAGACTGTGACAATCGTGTTTGAGTCACATCTATCGACTTAAGACACAAACCCAAAAGGATCGCCGCACGACTAGGTAACGCGGAAGTCTGCAGGCTTGTAACCCTACAAGAATTGTCGTTAGGGCAAGTAAGAAGAGCTACTGATTCAAAACTAAATAAAAATTAACAGGTCTGGGGAGAAGAATAACAATTGAAGGAAACCAAAAGGTATCTGGTGAATGGGGAACAAACAAGATAAAAAGTAATTTTGGTTTCCGATTGACGGAGATACTAAATTTGGTTTGGAATACATAGGAGTGCGGTTCTAGATTAATAGATGGGTATGAGTTCTGCTCGGTTAGGTGACCTCTGGTAAAGGTATCGGAAAAATAGAAAATCATGCTTTTATGGGGACAAGAGAAGCACAAACACTACAAAAAGATTTACTTTCAAAAGGGGGAGACGACAGTAAGTGACATCTAACGGAGAAATTTTACAACACCACGGTACCAATTTCGAATTTTCACATGCCTGTCCTGCTGATTTTCCTAGAGCAGCACGCAGCGTTGCCCCAGAATTTTGGTTGACATAATTCGCCATGTTGTTGCGGTCGGATAATCTTGTAGAAATTAACTTTCTGAGAATTTTTCGGGTAAAGCCGGAGTCGTTGTCGAGACTTGCGAATTTCAGTGATAAACCCCGTGCTGTTTTTGTCTTTTTTTCAATTTACTGCTTGGCAAGTCGGTATTTTTAGCGCATTTTTTAAGAATTTTAATTAATTTAATTAATTTTATCTTTCATGGTATTCCAATTAAAGGTGTCAACAAAAGGAACGGTTTTCTACAAACTACGGCCCTACTTGTTGACTGGGCTTTTGGGGGGGGGGGGGGGTTGAACTGGTTTTATCCTTCATGGTACTCTAATGAAAGGTCTCCTCCTCGACTCCTTATCGTGATCGGATATTAATAATTCCTTATATCTCAAGAACAGTTTGTCGAAGGATGGTAAATGAAATATAGTTCGCCATGTCGAACAAGACTAAAAAATCCGAGTGTGTTTAGGTAAGGAGGAAGCTGGAATAAGAACATTTTGAATGAACATGCTTAGTGGACCTAAAAATCGTACATTGTAAGACTCCCAATTGAGTGAATGACATTTAGCCATAGATTAACGCGCAATTTTACCCATACGATTAACGTACGGGAAAGCTAAATTACCGGTTAAATCGGATAAATGAACTTAAGATAAAATCACACTTGTCGATATAGTTCAAAGATCTGCGGAAAAACCGCATACGATTTTGCCCAGTAAAATCCCGCGTACTAGGAAAAGGAAAGTGATGAATTATCTGCATTAACAGTATATTTTTACTTATGTAGTGGAAATCGTTTATCTCTAAGTGATAATGACGAAATCCCACTTCTAGCTAAAGAATACCCATTTTTCAAAGCTTGTGTTAAATTACTGGTATCGGTGAGTGGCGCTTGCTTCCCAGCGGCTCTTCAGAATTACCCATTGACAAAAAAGCTGAAGAAGGTTGCGTCGTTTTTAACTTGTGAGATTACTGAATAAGTTGTAGTACCTCACAAGGTCACGATACTTTTTATTTTCGTCCAGTGTCTTTAACATATGTGCGAATGGATTTTACGCGTAGATATGACGTCCAGTTGAACGCTCGTGTTGGGTACCAGTAATTCATTGCACTGTGCGATTTTTTTAATAATAAAGGAAAACAAAAAATTTATTTTCCTTTTGGTAGTGGGAAGAGGTCGGCAAGTTTATTCAATAAATGACGTTCTACAAAAGCAGGTTGCTAATCAGGTACTAAACTAAAAGACGTGGTGGTTCCAGTTATTTTTCGTGCGCGCTTTGGTGTACATACAATATGACAAAATCACAAATATCCTGTGGGAATTTTTTTAATTATTTTACCATTATTGTTTTATTAGGTAAGTACCACAATTTATATCGCGTGACCTTTAGCATACCTCCACTTAATGATTTCGTTTCGTTTTGATTTAAGTTGTAATTAACGTACCATTATGACGTAACTAATATCAAACTGTTCATTAGGTAAAATACACGGTGGATCCGCACAATGTACGACACCAAATGAAAAACGAGGAAATTGCATTCCCATAAGAGAATGTCCTGCGCTGTTAGGTATTTTGGAAAAAGGTGTGATCAATCCTGACGAGATTCAGCTACTCCAACAATCTCAGTGCGGATATATCAGGAACCAACCGAAAGTCTGTTGTGAAGTTGAAACTAGTAAGTAGATGCCTACCTACAGCGTTTTAAAACTAAACATAACAATTAATTTTGAAGAATTACAAATTGAGCAAGATCTAATCCCGTATGACTGGTTTACCGATATTTTAAGTTTTCGTACCTATCTCAAATTATTGAAGCCAAACGTTCCAGTTCAAGTCAAATTCACTTGACATCAGCCATGACTTTATTTAGATGTTTTAATAACCTTGTAATCAATAATCTGTTTTATGTTCGTTGAAGAAGCTGAATTTGAATAAGTGGGTTATATACGATATAATACACAATCGTATGGACCTGCATAGTTAAAACTCTTGTCATTTATTTCAGTTTTGCGTTAATTAATTGATTATTTAGCTAATGTTTGGCATGGAAATGCATTGTAATTATCAATTTGATGAATGGCAACCACCAAGTCAAGAGTGGTCAAATCTATTTTGAGTAAAGGCCAACTGCTTATTCATGTCTCATATCAGTAAATTTATTCCATATTCCTTGAATTCGTTTAACCTTACGTGAAACGGGTGGTATTGTAGAAGTTTCGCAGTGTTTTAACCATATTTTTATTTTTCGGTAACAGTACCGTACCGATATAGCCCGAGTCCCGTTTCTCCATAGAAACCTTCAATTTGAATGTCTGTCAAGGAAAAAAATAACCGAGTTAAAGTAGAAATTCTGCTGATAAACATATCAAAAATGCATCTCCGAAAATGACCGCTAATACTGTTGAAAAGATACTTTAGCTAAACCAATCGAGGAAAAAAATTCAATTTGTAGTGAAATTATGTTGGAGCCTATGTTCTACAATTTTTTGCAACGCCGTCAGCTGATGCGCACGCTGCCTCGACCTGAGTGCGCGCTACTGAATAAATTTCAATGAACGTCCTTTCCTCTATTTCTGTCTCCTCCTCCTCTGTTTCAGGCCTGCTTATGCTTATATCTGATTCTTCCTCCACCTCCAGTACTCGTCTGCTTTCTTTCTTTATTTGGTATTTGGCCCTGCTCCACTCTTCCCATCTTTCTATGGGAATTCTCGAGACCTCCACCCTTTGGTCTATAGTGGTGTTCCATGTGAAGCAGAGTCTGCCTACTTTCCATTCCGAAGCACGTAGATTCTTGGCCATCTGCAGTATATGATCTTCCTCCTGTTTATATGCGCCCAGTATCTCAGCTGCCTATCTTCAGTCGCCTAGTGATCGTCTTTCCTCCTAGTAATTCCCTTATCTGTTGTCTTGTGAGGTTGCTGTTTTCAAGCAGTATCCGTATTGCCTTCCGTTCCGCCCTCCTCATTGTTAGCGCTGGAGTGTTCACTCCTTACAAGATTATCGGAGCTATGACCGTTCTCTCGTATGAAGTTTCGTATTCCATGTGTGACTCGAATGCGTTGATTATTCTATCTTTCACTGTGTTGTGCCTGCTGGATGTGCTGCTTATGTACGCTACCAGATATTCAATCTTGTGCTTCATGGTTATCTCCCTCGCGGCTATTGTGATCTTTCCTCCTTCCTTGTATTGGGTGTTGCTTCCTGGGTCTCTTATTATCTTGTAGCCCTTTTCGATGTTTATTCACAGGCCTGCCATCTCCAGATATACCTCGCTGGTTTGGACGAAGTCCTCGAGATCTTTTTTCTTGTCCGCGATTACGAGTAGGTCGTCCGCGTAGGCCAATAGTGTCGGTAGTTGTAACTGGCCATCTGTACTGAAGTTCCTCCTTGTTTGGTCTATGGCGTTGTCCAGTGCTATCGCGAAAAGTCTTGGTGAGAGCGCACATCCGTGTTTGATTCCTCTGATTTTTATTTGGTGCTCGGTCTTCTTCCCAAACCATTGTTACACTAGTATACTCCCTTAGGCACGCGTTTATAATTCTATTAGTTAATAATTTGGGCAGTCCCAGTAGCGTCAGAGAGGTGACTATTGCTTCATGCTTCACTTGGTCGAAGGCCTTCGCTAGGTCTATCGCTAGGAGCCATATTTTGGTTCCTGCTCTCCAGTATTCGTCTATAATCTATGCATTTTATGAAGCCTGCTTGGTATGCTGGTGTCTTGGATGTGTGGCCCTCTAGGCATTGTAGTAGGTAGGTTGCGTATATCTTGTATCCCGCACTGTATAGCGAGATTCTCCTGTAGTCGTCTGTTCCTTGTGGTGATCTGATTTTTGGGATGGGGATCTGCACTGTTTGTTGATATTCCTTGGGGACCAAGTTCCTAGTCCATACCTCTTGAATTAATACGTGTAGGTCCTTTATTAGACATTCTGAAGCGTATTATAGTAATTCGGCCTGGACCCTATCCTGCCCTAGCATTTTCCCCTTTTTCAGTTTTCCTACCATCTCCATCATTTCTTCCAGCGTGGAGGGTGGTGGTAGTGATCAGTAATCGTTCTCCTCCAATAAATGGACCTGTGCTTCTTGTTTCTCCTTCAGAAGCTTCTCCCATGCTGTCATTGGTAGGTACATATTTTTTGGTTCCTCCTTGTTTCCTCCTTCTGTTTTTTTCATGTGCTTATACATTTGCGTATTCCTCTCCATTGGTCTAAGCTTGGCGATGTTCTCTGCAAATTCAGCGAATTCCTTAATCTCATCTTGTTCAAAGGCTCTGTTTTTCTCCTTCCTGGCCTCCCTTAGCTCTTTTTTTGCTTCGCGTTTGTGCGGGTTTTGCCCAAACGTCTTCAGTGCTCTTCTGTGGTTGTCCATGGCTTGCTTTCTGTTCGGAGACATGAGAGATTTTTGGTTCCCCCTTGTTTTCTCCTTCTGTTTTTTTATGTGCAGATATATTTGCGCATTCCTCTCCATTGGGCTAACCTTGGCGATGTTCTCTTCAAACTCGGCGAATTCCTTAATCTCATGTTGTTCAAAGGCTCTGTTTTTCTCCTCCCTGGCCTCCCTTAGCTCTTTTTTTCTTCGGGCTTGTGCGGGTTTTGCCCAAACCTCTTCAGTGCTCTTCTGTGGTTGTCCATGACTTTCTTTCTGTTCAAAGACATGGGAGGCATTATAAATTAACAAATAATTCAATAATTTTTTATCTATGGACTAATTTTCATCGTTACTTTGCTATTTCAATGAAATTAATCGCAATATAACTACATAGATACCTACTCATTTAAATTTATTCCGTAGCGCGCATTCAAATCAAGGCGCCGCGCCGTCGGCGTGCGCATCCCAAGCGAGTAAATCAGCTGACGCTTTGGCGTTTTTGATAAATTTACATTAGCCATAATTTTCGGAGATGCATATTTTGAAATATCACCAGAATTTTCTAATTCAATTATTTTTTCATCGAACTGTATTAATAGACTCTCAATCAATTCGTGTTGCATCTCATAACCAATGATGATCATTCGTTTTTGCGAGATAGTGGGGTAAAACCCACCAGTAGGGTAACATCAACTAATTATAATAACACATATGCGCTGCTATAATGATGATATGGAAGTAATAAAACAAATATAATCAATGGCATGAGCACAATTTATTATTATACAATACTACTTGAATATCTAAATAACACTTAGCACCTGAAGCACTTGAACACATCACCACAATTTTGACCAAATCCATCGCACACAAATCATATTTCATTTTCTTGCCTTTTCTGTTTTTATATTTTTACATGTTTGTTTTTTCATTTTCAGTTGTTTTCTTCACTTATGTGACACTTTTATACTTTCTTACACATCAAGATATTTTTTCAGTGGGATGGATGTTATCATTTGGGAATGTCGTTTCTTTCTATCACTGATTCTAAGTATGGAGCTCGTAATTCTCAAAGTTCTTTGAATATATTATAATACGTTTATTGTATGTATTGTAAGTTGCCTCAGATTCATAAACTCATTCATTCTGACTTTCGGTGGAACCTGATGGGACAATATTATGATGACCCTGTAAGGGATGCAAGGCACGCCCTTTGCACATAGTTCCGAATTGCTGGTCCTTGGTAATCAATATAACGGGCGATCAAAAATGAGTTGCTGTCGAGTTGCCTTTGGAAGTTCAATTCCAAAGGTAACTCGTAAGCAACTCATTTTTGATCGCATAGTACCATTATCTTATAAAACAATGTAAAAAGTAATTCTAGAAGAAAAACAAAATCATTCAATAAAAGGTTTCATTATGGAGCATTAAAATAAAGATACGGCAATTCAGTTTCCTTCACTGATAATTCCAATAAAACGTAACGTGGAATAAGTTTATTTTTTCTTTTACAGTTTAAATCAAAACTGCATTGTGATGATGTTTACATTTTTTACAAACTATTTTAAAAGGTCAATTTGTCATCAGAGTTTTAAAATTGTAAATTTGAAGATGGAAATGTTCGTGCAATATTAGCATTTAAAAACGGTTTTTGTAATTAGTCACACATTAAAATCTTTATACAGGGTGGTGACTTGCGTAACGCATCATAGGGATTTAAATGTAAAATTCATAACATGCGATTATTGGCTCCCCAAATTATTTTAGAGCAAAAATGTATTAAGGTTTTTTGTAGAAAAAATTTGTTTACGCCAATCAACCGTATTAGTTTTCAAGTTTTTGCATAATAGAGACGGAAAATTGGAAAAATAAAACCCGCACCTTTTTCAATAATCTGCAATGCCATGGAATTTTCTAAAACAAAAAGATATCCAGTTATTATCCAGCAGATCGAAATGGATTTTATGATCGACTTGGTTACTGCCTTGTAGTTAATGGTGACTTATTCGAACATTTATGATAAATTATCATATTAGGAAACCGTTTTTAGTAATTTGGTCTTTCTTTATGTTGAATTCGCTGTTCTAAATATAACACTTTTTGATAGAATTTGATTTGTTTTATAGCAGACATTCCATGGCATGACGGATATTGGCGCAGTTTTTGTATTATAACATTCCAGGCATCACAGATTATTGAAATAGATGGGGGTTTTATTTTTCCAATTTTCTGTCTATTATGCAAAAAATTGAAAACTAATACGGTTGATTGGCGTAAAAAATTTGTTTCTACAAAAAACCTTAATACTTTTTTGCTCTAAAATAATTTGGGGAGCCAATAACGGCATGTTATGAGTTTTACATTGAAATCCCTATGATGCGATACGCAAGTCACCACCCTGTATATAAAATTCTACTGTGCGTGTGTTTGTGACTGAACTCCTCCTGAACGCCTAGACGGATTTTGTTGAAATTTTTTATGTCTCTGTGTGTCCCCGCAGGGTTTAGATTAACAATTGGCACCGATCGGAGTAAAGGATTTTTAAACTTATTTTTTCGTTGATTTCGTACCTACTATTTCGCCTAATGATGGATACATGCGTCAAGTCACTTGTGTCATACCGTGATGATGGGTTTCCGTTATCATTTATCCGTCAATATCGGGCGTCCAAAGTCACGGGGGAACTTCTAGTAAATGAATAAAATTTGACGGACATCTGTAATGTGAGAATGCCGCACATTATTGTGATTTGTGCATTGTTTGAAAGGAAACTCACTCTTACGCAACACCGGTTTTGGTACGCTAAGGTACATTGAATTCTAAACAAAGTCCATATATTAATCGTTCGATGTGACCATGAGGAAGGTACATGAATAGTTTGGGGATTTACTTGGAATCTCTCTGGTAGCTGTCAATTTTCGGAACAGAATTTTGGAAAACGGCAGCGGTACAATGGGAAACTGCAATCTCTCAAGCATATTCCGTCACTGTTTAAATTGTCTTCTTAGTTTCACCACAGACAACATATACTATGTCTGTGGTTTCACCAATGAGTAATTAAATAGGTTTCACTCCAATCAATATGCGCATTATTTACTTTTACCATCAGTATCTGCAGTTAAATATTAAGGATGAAATGCGCTTGCACAAATACGCAGATTTTTGCTAGCTCAGTGCCAAGATCTTAAACCTACGGAGGGATGGGTCTGTTGCATACAAGACCATTGTCAGTAACAGCACATATTAATTTCAGTTAGTTTGTTATTGGAGAATTAATCTTGAACTTTCATCAGTTTGTTTAGATATCTCCGTCCTTCAACTCCGAGTGTCGCCACATCTTTAATGTGTGGAAACCAGTAATGACGCATCACGTTTCTTATGGTAAACTGTGCGTTCTTGGTTCTCCTTATACGAAATATTTCTTTTCCCGAGAACGGTAAGCAGTTACTGGGAAACGTGCGCTAGCGGTACACATACCGTAATCTATTTATAGATATTGTACATATATCGCGAAATTCTTTAATGTTGTTTTGATATTACCTATTAGTTAGTTACCCAGACGACAGACAACATTGAAAATTGAAAAAATCGTTTGGCAATTACCCAAAAATTATGCTGAAAAACAGGGAAATAACAAGAACACTTTTTATGAGACATCTACTACAATATAACAACGCATAAACAATTAGATTCAATTACCAAATTTTCAAGGCATGCCCATTACTTTTGCTATTGTTGAAGTTCGGCGTTATTGAACTTTTAAATACTGATTTCTAAAAAACACGTGACCTCTATTATTGTTAAGGTTAATGTCAATTAAATTTACATTAAACTAAAGGGATTTATTCCCACAATCGAACAAGAGTTCGTTTCAGTTTAGCCAAGTTTAGAAAAGTATAACACGACAAATTCGGATTAGTCTTAGCCCTACGCCCCTACATGAAATTATAGGGCGTTTGATGATTAAAGCCACTTTGCACAATTGTATATTGGACCAGGCAGGGGAGGGTGAGCCATCCCTAAAGGTGCATTTTTTGAGTTTTTGGCATTTTACAGGAAAACTACACTCTTTATCATAAAGGGTGTGGTTAGCTTTTTTGTAGACCATAAAATTCTCTATCGATATCGGATATTAGGTTTTGTTCTATCGCCACTCCAAATATTAAAACAAACCCTCAAAAATGATTAGCATTTGACTAAAAACGCCTTTGAGGATTATTGGATTTCATATACTCAAAAAGATGTTCAGCCCTTCCTTCCTCTCTACATCAGAGTCTTTAATTACACCTATTCATAAACCGCTTTGTTATGACTTATGAAATAGATGTCCATTGTCCCAAACTGAAATTTTATGAAGGCGTGGGGGTGAGAAACTCTAAAAACTCAAAAAGTACACCTTTAGGGGTAGCCCACTCTCCCCTGCCAAAGGGGGGCGGATTGTTTCCCTTCTAAAAATGTTTGCTTTGGTCCAATATACAGTTGTGCAAAGTGGCTTGCTTTAATCATGCAACACCCTATAATCGCATTTTTCGACTTGCGGGCATTATTTATTATTAGATTATGGTGGGTGACTTGAAGTTAACTTTAGCTTAACATTAGTTACGAAATAGGCAATTCGTAAACGAATATGCTTGTTCGTATAAGTCATGGTTTTTTAATTATTATACATTAACTATCGCATTAGTCATTACTGTATGTCCTGCTAATAAATTCAGAATGACGGATTTGCGAATGCACCGGTGATTTCCCAGCTGTTCGCAAAGGATTCCCTTATTTACTAAAATTTGTGTGGAATTAATGCTAATCATTGTAATTTAATAACTCTAATAAGTTATATAATGAAGTACCTAAACTAAACTCAAGGTTAATACCTATGCATTCTGTTTAAATTAACTGTGCTTGCTCCTTTTTATATTATGGAACGTTTAGTAATGAGCATGACAATGTCTGCATCTACAGACCTTCAATATTTATGATAAATTTTATTCGGCTGTGCATTTTTAAAGGTACTGTAGTCCGTCTCTCACCTTGACTACACTACAGGGAACATAGGGCAACGCAATCCTTATGAGAGTTTTTAACGCGGTGATGACGAGTTTATTCAAAAGAATTTTCAAAGGTAACCCGACAGCTACTCATTTTTGATCGCATAATATAATAAAAACACATGTAGGTACTAGATAATTAATATTAAAAGAGTCATTAAGATTGATTCCGGTTTATAGTAAAGTTTTTAAGGGAAAAAAACAAGAATTACATTATAAATGAGTGCTCATGAATGTGGCAAGGTTTTGCTTAAACCAATTCCAACCATTGTTATTAATATCTAATTCTAAAGATAAGTTATATCTTGAAACTTTGACATATGCCTGGCGTCGCCGCTTCTCCCAGGGCCTTACAAGTTCTGAATTTTCTTTCAGATGGTCTGCTATCACTGTCACATTCAACACTTATGTTGTAGGTCAACCAGTAAATCCAGACGTACAGACAAGTGAACTTCTACCTGCCCCTGGGGTATGTGGAAAAATATTGGCACCAAGAATAGTCGGTGGTAAAGTTGCACGCTTAGACGAATTTCAATGGATGGCACTCATCGAATATTCAAAGCGTAATTAAGATTTCTGTTAGGGCTTGTTCATACAACGAATTTTTAAAGTCGCATTAATCGTCGTTGCATGAACCACCTTTTAATATTTTTAATTTAAATTTTGTGATTTTTAGCGACAGGCAGAGGTTTCCACTGCGGTGGTGCGTTAATTAGCGATCGTTACGTTCTAACAGCAGCCCATTGTATTAAGAACATTCCGAGAGGATGGAGATTGTAAGTTAAAGTACCGGTCAGTAACTTTTACACGAAATCGTCATTTTCATGCCTACTTTATGTCAGGTAATTTTAGTTTCGATGAGTGTGGCAGTAATGTAAATTATTTTATTTGTTACTCAGTTGTAAACGTTGATTAACAAGACAAAACGCAAACGGGTAAACGTCATGTTTAAACGCTACTGACTTGTAAAACTGACAGCAGACATGTAAAACTAACAGCAGACATGTAAAACTGACAGCAGACATGTAAAAATTTTACAAGTTAGTAATCGAGTCATTTCATTGGCCAGAATTAATGCGAAGTCTCTGTTACATGGATAACATGATATTTTAGACATTTCTTCAAGATTAATTTAAGAACTAATTATTTACGTTTACTATTGTTTACAAATGAGTAACAAATAAAATATTGTACATTATACGCCAGGTAATAGTTTTTACTGGCTCTAGGAGATGACAAGCTCGCCTAACGGCTCGCTATTCAACTTCTCCTATCGCCAGTAAAAACTCACTTACCTGGCTAATAATGTAAAATACTATTACTACTTTCCTTGCGCTCTGTCACTTTACCTGCCTCAGCGGTCACTTTTCCGGCCGAATTTGTCACATTGCTTGTCTAATTACAGAATATGACCTGCTTCTAATGACTTCTGGCATCACAGACAGATTGACATTAATCAATAGTTCTATATGAAAATTAAAATTTTATTTGAAAAAAAGACGATTTTGGGTAAAATTTAATACAAAACCCGTCAGTAATATCACACTAGTTGACTCGGGAGTTAATGTACTCGGTCCCAAAAAGGCCCCGTACTATTTCCTCGCCTGACTTTTATGTAAATAACTGTTATACGCATTTTACAGGGTAAGTGTTCGTTTAGGCGAACACAATTTACAAAGTGACATAGACTGTGAAGAGTACTGCGCGGATCCTCCACAAAATGTCGCAGTTGAGGAGTCAATTCCTCATGAGCTCTACGATCCTAAAAGTATACACCGGTATAATGATGTGGCTGTACTTCGACTTCAGCGACCGGTAGCATTTACAGGTGAAACTGTTCATTTTACTATATAACCCTTATACATTTGCGTTGTTATAGACTACATATTTCCCATTTGCTTGCCATCTACTCAGAATACAGCCTACGCAGGGCTCACCATGACAGTTGCTGGATGGGGTCGTACTGAAAACAGATCTCAAAGTGTTTCAAAGATGAAATTAGATGTCAGTATCAGGAATTCCTACTTGAATTCATTTTACAAGGCTATCATTTCAGGTTCCAGTAAGACCACAACAAGAATGCATATCAACGTACCAAAAGGCGAAGGTGGAGCTCAGAGAAGGGCAAATATGTGCCGGCGGAGTTAAAGGAAAGGATTCGTGTACCGGTGACAGTGGCGGTCCGCTTATGTATGTAAATCAAACGGAGTTTGATCAAATTTACTTTATTACTGGCATTGTATCATTTGGACCATCTAACTGTGGATTACAAGATTGGCCCGGTGTTTATACGAAGGTTGTTGACTATATCCCATGGATTATTAATAAACTAAAACCGTAGTCGTTTGTATAGTTAGCTTAAGGTTTAGTCATATAATTTAGTGTAATTATTAAGGTTTTACATTATTAACATCAAAGTTTTTTATGAATGTTGCTTATTTTAATTTCATTTTAAAAGAAGAATACCGCAATACACCATGTTAAACCGTTTACGAACAACAGTGAAACAAATATTATTTTAATGCAGGACGCAGGTTCTAAGAAGAATCGAATACTAGGCCATCAAAAATGAGTTGCTGTCGAGTCACCTTTGGAATTTTTGTTTGCATGGGAAATCGTACTTAACTTGAACTTCCAAAGGGGACTCGATAGCAAGTCATTTTTGATCACCTGTTACGACGGACATCGGATCTTACTGTATAGTACGGCAAAATACGATGGGAAAACTATTATCTACATCTCAAAAATTAAGCAAGGTTATAGCTTTTGGCTAAATTTTTTTACCCACGTCCTGAAACCTTCATTTGCATGCCAACTTTCTGCCATGAAATTTGAGATTCCATGACAGAGGCACAGCAGACTACGTTTCCTGCCACTTGTCACTTTACTGGCCGCACCTGTCCCTTTACCGGCCGCATTTTGACATTTCCATGATGTCTATAATGACTCCTGGTCATCACTGACAGATTGACATTAATCAAAAGTTTTATATACAAATTGCATCTCTGTACGATGAAAAAAAAATAGATTTTTCATCCCCTTGAAAATCAGGTGGTTTTTTTCAGAAATCGTGAGATCTTGGAAACGGTTGAACTTTACAGGCCCAAAAAATTATCTTCTTTTTTATCATAAAACAAGCTGTTTCCTCCAAATTTCAAACCCTTACGATATTTTTTCGCAAAAATAAGAATAAAAACGAAAAAAACGGGTTTTCCGGTTTTTCTAGGAAAATTGGAGGTTATGTGAAAATAGTGCAGATACAAAAGTTGTTCATTTTTTTAATATCTATAACTTTTACATTGAACATTTTCCTCTAAAAAAAAAAAAAAAAAAAAAAAAAAAAAAAAAAAAAAAAATTATTTCAAATTATTTCAACATGTCACAAACTTAAATTTATTCATGTTTAACAATAAAACTTACAAAATGGAAGACGGTCTACCTATGGGAAATCCCATAAGTGGACTATTAGCAAACATCTTTATTGATCACCTTCAACTTCCAATTAAAAATCTACCAAATTTCAAACATGTTACCACCTGGTTAAGATATGTAGACGACATATTTGTCATTTGGACTGGGACAATAGAACAACTTCATCACTTCCACACAACTATCAACAATATTTCAGACATAAAATTTACATTAGAAACAGAATCAAATAACACACTTAATTTTCTAGACATCACTCTATACAACAATAACAACCACATATCATACAATATATACAGGAAACCAACTACCACTGATGTTATAATACCCTACAACTCCTATCACTCACCTAACATAAAAATGGCCGCCTTCAACTTCCTCTTTAATAGACTACTAAACACCCCCCTAAACCCATTAGATTTTCATAACGAATACAACACGATCCTTCAGATAGCTCAAAATAACAACTACAAACCTACCCTCATTAATAACATTTTTAAAAGAATCAAGTACAAACATTTGCTCAAAAACATATATCCACATCATAAACACAGCAATAAATACATAACCATCCCATACTACAAACACATACATACACACCTACAAAAAGCACTAAACCCCTACAACATCACCCTCACTAACACCACACACCCTACATTACAAAAAATTCTAACCAACTACAAACCAAAGGAACCACATCATTTACAGTCAGGAATATACAAAATCACATGTAACGATTGCAACTGCATATATATAGGACAAACCACAAGAAAATTGCTAACAAGATTCACCGAACACAACAAAAACAAACCACATTCAGCCATAGGTACCCACATAAATAACACAAAACACACAATATCAATAGACAATACAAAAATTCTACACAAAACCAACAATTACAAAAAATTAACAATACTAGAACACTATGAAATTCACAAAGCGTTACAAGATCCTAATTTCAAATTAATAAATGACATAACTGAATTCAATGATAATCATCTTTATAAATACGTTGCCCATTCACATAACACGCCACTGCCTCATACATAACCTCACATACTGATACACACACACACTGCACTTAAAACATGTAAGTAATTAATTTATATCTGATATACGATTTACTAACCTTTAATTCAATTTCAGCGCTCACACATACATCATTCAATTCAATTTTATATAAAAATATGGACATTACATCATACATTTCCATCTTGTTACAAAATGTAATTCAGTAGACGGTAAGATAGATTTTGAAAAAATTTCACGCGTTCAACATATATATGTATTTTAGCTACGGCCTGATGAAGCCCTATAAGGCGAAATCGATAGCCCATAGAAAAACAATAAAATTATAGGTTTTTATTATACTCTGATCTATTAATTAACACGACAAAGCCTATCATGGAGTTCTACATAAATCACATTTTCCTCTAAAATTAATAGTTTAGCCACAATTTGCAAAACACCACTTTCAACCCCCGTGATTTCACCCGCGGAAAAATTCAGCTGTTTTAATTATTTTTTCCCAATTTCTATTCATTTCACCTGCCTGAAAAACCTGGTTTCGCCCGGTAACTAATTTTTTTTTGTAAAAAAATATATGGCCTGGACTATACGATTTCGGGTCAAATTAAATACAAAACTCGTCAGTAAAATGACATTACTTAACTCGAAAATTAAAGAACTCGGCCCCAAAGGGCCTCGCACTTCAATATTTCCTCGCCAGTAATGTGTCATTTTCCTGACATTTATGTAAATAACTATTAAACAAATGTACGGGATATTCTATAAAATCTTAAATGGGATGATTTATCGAAAACTAATATTAAAAACCAGAAAATGTATAAGTAAACTGATATGAATTTTTCTCTGTCTGGCAAGGGTAGTGAAAATGTCCCTCGAAATGTCCTTATAGGAGTGTTTACGGTTAGGTCACAATTTACATTCATATGGTGCAATATGAAGAACTACACTAGTGAAATGAGAGTTAAATTCATATGGTTCAAGAAGGAAATTGGCTTCTTATGTGTACAGTTTTTTCTTTTTCCAGTATTCCCATGACATGCGCTGATTCCGTCAAAGCGCTATGGAATTTCACTGTTCTTATTTGATTTACTGTTTAGAAATCCCTGGATGTTGCGCTAAAAAATAAGAGCAGTTTGTAATTGCATCCCTGTGTCTAAAATGAACCTCATTATAGTCTAACGCGTCAAGTAAATGATATGGGAGGCTAAGCATGACAAAATGGACCGCAGATAGAATAGCTTGCAGACCTCCATATCATCCTGTTGCACGTGAGATCTCGCTGTAACCAGGAATGCCTTATAATAATATCATGTTTCTTGAAGCCCCCTTAAAGAATTGCTAGGTTTCCATGGATGATTATTCAACTACAACATAAAATCTCAAACGCACTCTTTAGATTTTTGTTAAATATTCCATAACGAATTTGCAAGAGGAATCCGTTAGTAGAGCAGTAAAAGAAACTCAACACTACGATCAAAACTTACTTACGACAAGAGTACGAGACGACCAAGTGTTAGTGAATAAAATGTTGTATATATTTCGTAAAATCTATTTACGACAAACGGTTTCCATTTGCTCATACCTCACATAAAAATGTCCTTCGGTGGATAATGATGTCCGTATAAAATAGGCTTGGTATTGGCCTCTTTACAGCGACAAAGTTTCGGAAAATTGACTACCGGAAACTGAAGATTGGATCTTTAGCGACGGCGACTTTTGCTTCTGTGGATTCTCTGGGAATCGGAACCCTCTGGATGTAATTTTGGCGGACGTTAAACTTCTGAATTAAGAGATTACAGGCAAACAAGAGTTTCTTACCACGGGTTTTTGTAAACGGTTTATTTGAATCGCTTTGAACGTTTTGTGACTAAGCAAATTTATATACTCTATTTTAATTCGTGTCTTTTTCGGGCACTTTATCCTCATAACGTCAACAATACTACTTTGTTTCAACGGAAACACTCATCAACACGTTTAATCAATGTGTCCTTACTCGAACACGTTACGCTGTCTAATTTTATGCAATAGCTCTTACACAATAATCCTTTTCTTTGGCGTGGATAAAACTGACACGTTTAAATCAATTCGCTTTCAGGGGTTGGGTTCTTAAACTGTAAAAATCATGAAACTCGCGTGGAACTGTTAGTTTCAAGAAATACGCGAAATAACAAGTTGGTTCTGGACTGAATTTATTATCCTACGACCCGTAGAAATTTCTATGACTTGGCTTCACAACACTCGCAGCAATCGATGTGGTTACTCTTTTTTAAGTCAAAACCCGAATCTCTCGAAAAAAAACTATATTTTGAGCAGTTGGAGTTGGAGCCAACGGCTTCCGGAACTCATTATGAAGTCAACACGCTATAGGATTAAAATACGCAGAAAGAAAATGATGGCTAAATTAAAAATGTAAATTTTTATCAAGCTTGTACTTGGACCACCATATATACTCTGCTATCAAACTAATTATATACAATACAGACCATAAGATTGTCTTGAAAACGAGTCATCCGAGTTTGTACCCGTCCATGGATTGAGCATAAGTTTTGGCGCCCCAAAAACTTCGAAATTTTTGAACTTGCTTCCGTTTTTTGCTAATAAACTCCTAAACAACGAGTCAATTAAAGAGCGATAAATTATACGTTGACTTACTCCCTCAACTTTAAATCTCGATCAATTTATGAATTTAATGGCGAGATCAAAGAATTTGACCAATTTTAACCATACTTTTATAATATGTCAAATTCAAGAAACACTTTGGGAATATCCTAATAAGCGTTTCTCGGCCTCTTTGATACGGTTGAACCCTCATCGTGCTCTATGCCATCATCTTCTGGGTCATCTTCCATCTCCTCCATCAATTCACTGCTGAGATCCTCTTCTTCCTCCAATGGTCGAGGGGTAATAAATACTTCTTCCTCAACAAGGGCGTTGGGAGCACGCCTGCTGTATTTAAGTTCTGCCTTTCGACAGGGGCACGTTGCAAGTGAAGGTACGAGTATACTTTTGCAAAGGTTACCATCTTGAAGTACTGAACCCACAGTTTAGCTGTTGTATCTGTGATACAATAAAGAAATGCACCGACGTGCTAGGCTGTACGACAATTTGCCTAACTACATGCAAAGAGTTTGCCGATCAGATTGATTTATGGTGACTGAATAGTTATTTGAAAAAGATGTCCCTTTATCAAAGGTTATGATTATACTTACTTTCACTGACTTCTAAAAATTGATCACAGTTATCTGCAGAAAATGTACCCTAGGCGACAGGAGTAAGGAAATACAAGTATACCTACATGTTATTAATTTCTCATTATGAATTTAGGATATGTATGACAAACCAAGCATAGAGAATTTCCTCAATTTAGAGCATGGATAAAGAATGGACAAATATGGAAAGATAGACGAGAGGCTATAATTTTGGCCAACATTAAAGTAAATGATCAAACGAAATGGGAGCAGTTTCATGAAATAAATATCAATAATTGTCATTCAAGTTTCTACTGCTAGAAAGTAACGTTATAAAATTTCGATATTTATTATATGCAGTACCTACATGAGACTGCTTGCGTATTTAATGAAAAGACGCATAAATTCTAACTTGTAAAAAATGTAGGTTAAGGTTGTATACAAAATTTATCTCCATTTAAGACTAATCAAAGCGAGGTAAGGATTAGGCTTGTATAATTAACAAAAATCGTCTGGCCATTACAGAGTATGCTCAAGAAGCACTACCTACTTCATTTTAATTATGGTGATTTGGCCATATTCAATATAGTTATAGTGAAGATTGAAGGTAATTAATTTCATTCTGATTACACGATTGCGTGTCTGTGAAGATTTTCACAAAGCACTAGTAGATGCCTACCGTTTGATAAAGGAAATGCTTTTAAAACTTAATTGTTATTGACTACTATTGATGGTGGTTATTATACCTATAGCTGATTAATGGAGCCATTTAATTAGATAAGAATTTAAATTTTAAATAGGTGTGTTATGGTTGCAACACTCCCATTAATTTCATTCATGAATCATCATGCATTTCAATAGTATTGATAAAACATCCAAAGGTCTATATTTTAGCGAATTGTGTACTTAATAAAACTTTTAGAATTGCATTTTTTTTAAATAACTGTGGATTTGTTACTTATATCGTAATGTTGGGTATAATTGATATAAATGAAAAAGCCTGGAAACCGATCTCTCCCATTACAGACCTCATTCAGAACGGAACGTCGCAAGGTTCAATGAATGCCGTCCGCGGCATCTTGGTTACCGTTGAGTTTTTGAACGGAGGATCGCGCCCTTGGCGGGACTTCTTGAATAAAGGCACCATTTGAATGTGTGAACACTAGAACTACGTTTATTCGGGGTGTCTACATACAAAATTTCATCTAAATATCTTAAAAAATAAGAAAATCGGATTGCGCATGCGCAAAACAAATTTTGATTCTGTATTAGTTTTACTTTTACCCTTCCTTATTTTTTGACCTACACAGCCCATTCACAATTGATCCACAAATTTGATAAAGAATCCACCTGCAAAGGCAAGCCGCCAAAGGACTAATATTACTAAATTAAATGAAAAATTCCAATCAATGAAGCAAAATACCCCAAATCCTTTGTTTGGATTCGATTCTTCTCAATAAGTGTAATATAAAATCTGTTCATGCAAATGTTTCTCACAGGTCGATTCCTTTAGGAATATTAAAATTCTCACATTATACTACCTTACTTGTGAGTATAAAAGCACACTCACCGCTGAATAAGTCAAAATTGAGTGCCAACGTTTGAAGAGGCAACACATATATCAGGAGGGCTCTTAAAACAATTTTGTGACATTCACTATTTTTGATAATGCAATTAGGTTTGCTTTTCTCAACGGATTCTCCATTTTTCGTGTTAACACCGTTCCCTTCTTAGCCGGTGCCATAGAGGCGATTCCGGCACCTTCCATAGAGATAGAATCGAACCCAAGACGCCATCCAGATCGTTGTCGAAACATCTCCGCGTTTAGATGAAGACCAAGAGGGCTTCCAAACTATGAAGGAGAACAAGTCACCACTCTCCCCGCTGTTCGTTGTCGTAGTCAAGAGGAACAGCAACGACTCTAGAAGATGATCCCACTTCTAATGAGTCATCCCCTTTGAAGAAAAGTGCTGCCTCGACCAAAAAAGAGATCTTCCGAACAAAAAAATTGGTAAATCTACAACGTACATATATGAAATGAGTTTTATGACTAATGTATTTATACCTATCTGTAGCCATACGGAGCATAATTATAGCGCCCATTTATCGTGCAATTACATAATTTAAAATTCTTTGCACTAAAACGGAAACTTGGTAGTACGGAATTTTACTCGAATAATCTGCTGACCTATAACTGGGACGTAAAATCTTCAATGTACCACCGTCGTTGCTTCATTCACCTTTCAAGATTGTATTTTTCAGGCAATAACGTTAACATTCAGGCCATTTATTCAGATGCATCGGGAGAAAAAAATAAGGGGAATAAACTACACGTGAACACTTCTTTTAAAGTGTAACTTGATTTGACCAAACTAAGCACGTCTAATTGCAAGCAACGCGATTTTTATTATATTTCTTCACCGTAGAAGGAATTGTTTTCCAGGTGAGTTAGTTTTAATTAATTTAAAAGATTAAATAAGAATTGCAATCTTTAAGTGTTTTCTGTAAGCAATTATTACTTACGGTTTGTTTATCATAACCATTAAGGCTAGACTTCCAATATAATCTGTATCATAATAATAAAGTTTTATTGAAGATTGTTGCACTTTAATTGCAATACAATTTGTAACGGCTAACAAGTCGTTGCCATATTAACATCTACCTACATTTTATTATTGGGTTCGTCGTTAATATTTTTAATTCGTTGTATTCTATTTTAATTATACGAGGCATGTAGCGTAAATATTTGATCGCAATCTAAAGCTGATTTAATATTACACAAAAGTACATTAAAATTTCCCCGGGTGGTGGTCGTTTTGGACCTGGTATTAGATAAGATCATGAAAATTAAATAACACTTAACACGATAAAATTCCATAACTTGTAGCTAATGTTAAATTATCTATCACGCTCGATCTTCATATCGGTTCATACTTTTGGTGGTCGCCCATTTCACAGATCAATGACATTTTAAATCTGGCGATATTAATTGGCACACATAATCCGCAAAAGAACGAAGCATATCATCTATAACTAAAAATACTAATAGAGATACGAGTAATATGACAGGTAAGGTGAGCAATCTAAACCGTAATCGAAGCGATTAGGTTCGCAATGACCATTAAAGTGAAGGCCAAAAATTCGCCTGTTACAGTTGCACTGCACTTAATTAGATATACTTTATTAACACGATTGCAAAATAAATTCCATTAAGTTACTGCGAATTTCAGCTTGTAAAGGTTTTTCACAATTGGTCGAGCCAGCCGATTATCCTTGGCATTAATTCTAACCTCTTGAAACAAAAAATACTTTGGTGGTCTGTAATAAATAATAGAGCCTGTCATTTGCCTCTGTATGTTTGATAAGAGGTAAATTTAACGGGTGTTTAATAACCAGTGCGGTTGGGCCAAAAATGTTTCAAAACCGTCATTTTTTTGGGATAAGGTAAAAACGTTTGATCTTGATTTCAAGAAGTGAAATTTTGATAATAAAATGTACTATGTACTTACAATTGTCTATTTTAAACACAGAGTAATATCTGAGTGAAATTAAACTTTTCACTTGTTGCTGTATGTCCTCTTTTTGTTGGATTATTGTGTCTGTCTTTCGAAATTAACACTTTACAATGTTGGATAGCATTTGTGCATTTAAGGGATGTAAAATGTTCTGCTATACTCTAATGCGAGATCTCCAGCACCAGCACTACTTGCCATCTCCTCCCTTAACCCCCTAGCGATATCGTTTCAAACACTTCATACCACGAGAATGGAATATCGGAAAGTCATTATATACATTTAGCAATGTGACAGGGATGGCCGGAAAAGTGACAGGTGCGGCCGGTTAAGTGACATGCAGCAGTAAAAGTAGTCTGGTCTGTCTCTGTCATGGAAACTATAAAATTTCTTGACATAAGGTAGGCATGAAAATGAAGGTTTCATGGCGATTTTGGGTAAAAGGCTTTACCAAAATATACCTATTTGCAAAAAATGCCTACCTACAAAGGAAAATAAAATTTAGTGGTTACTTTATTGACAAGCTAACAAAAAACCAAGGAATGTTGTAGAGATCGCAGGAGAGGTTTGCATTAAGAATTCATCTAAAAAAGGAAAAATTTTGAGCTAGTCGATGACAAAAAATAATTGTATTTTATACGGTTTTAGTTCAAAATTTCAAAGTTTTGTTGAACGAACGGTTTCAAACAACTTTTATAAAATAGAAAAGCTGCATGGATATTTGTAAACGTATAGTGGGTTGGATTGGTAGAGCAGCCTTGGCTGAAACCCCGCCCACTTAAAAATAAAGACAAAAATAAAATATACAATGTATAGGCTGCTGGGTTGCTTAAAAGGGATACCTATGTGGGGAGAATTTTGTATGGGGGGTCAATTTTAAAACTTGCAGTCGGTCATATTTTCCAAACTAAAGAAGATATTGAAAATCGCGCAAAACCGTTTCGGATGTATCGAGGGGGAACCAGAATGACGTTATGAGTGATAAACCCCCTACCCCCCTTAACCCCCGGCCCACACTCTTCAAAAATCCTAAATGGCAACCGCATACTTGTGACACGCTACTGAAAAATGCTTTCCAGTGGTACCAATAAAGTCAATATTCATTAAGACAATTTAAACAAAAATTTAATAATTATACAAAAACAAACTAAATGTTGACATTGAGGGATTTATGGCAAATTGGCCAAGAACTTCAACCTGAGCTGCTTCATTAAGCAATCTTGGTTGGTTTCTTTTTTTATTGATAACAGATCCCGTTTCTTCGAATTTAGCAACCGAATCTTGAACATAGGCATGGCTTAATTTTTCTTTTTTTATTGTTTATTATTAAATTTTTGTTAAATTGTCTTAATGAATTTTGACTTTATTGGTACCACTGGAAAGCATTTTTTAATAGCTTTTCACGATGTGTGACAAGTAGGGCCCTACGGGGTTGCCATTTAGGATTTTTGAAGAGGGGGGTGGGGGCTGTGGGTTTAAGGGGGATGGGGGGTTGTCACTCATAACGTCATTCTGGTTCCCCCTCGACAAAATTGTCCCTTATGTGATGGTTTTGTCTGTCTGTCCGTCCGTCTATACCTCGTGTAACTCGAGAACGAAAAGAGACAGAATCGCCAATCGATTACCACCAGTTGAACGATCAGTGCTATTGATTATGAATCGGATTAAAAGTCGTGTTCCGGAATGCCAGCTGTCCAAAAATTCACCTACTGAAAATCTATGTGATGCTTTATATTTTGTTGATATTTATTGACAGTTGACATCAAAACATACACCGCGTCACAATAGATCTTCAACTGCCATCGTATGATATGACCGAGTTCTCGCTTATAACAGCTTATGTTGCATTCTAAGGAAATCAACCGTGAGACGACAGCCGAAAATCTGTTGAGAATTGTGGTAATAACAGAAATTACAGAATTACGGTTTTGTAATTAATCTAATCATTTTATTGATTAATATCAATAATAAAACAGCTGTAAGTGAAACGTTTCTGTGAGCTTTCATTTTGGAAATGGCGGCCGATGTGTCGTAAAATTCTGAACTTTTTGCAAAGCGCAAATGCATCTAGGGTTCAAAATTGTGGTTTTAGGTAGCGTATAAACGAAGCTAGGTTTTGATCACTTTAATCTCCCCAGGGGCAATTTTTATACCTTTGCAAATTACATGCAAAACTTTAGAATTTTTCACTGGTGGATTAGCAGTGAAAAAAGCCGCCAAAAAATATGGTGGCGATAAGAAAAATGTATCCTCCACGTTTATGGAGGGTGGTGATACTTGGTGTAACGGTTTTTGAGTTGGCATTTGGAGATTGTAAGGTAGAATAGTGATCTTAACTTTAGCATAGCCCTCTTCTAAAGTCGAAATTAAGTGCATTTCATTGGCATTAGCTGTCAGTACAGCATCTCTTCTTACACGGAAATATAACGCGGTGCCAAAATTGACCCAATTTTATTTTACTTGAGAACAGTATCCTGTTAATTGGTACTTACAGTGGTCAGCCAATAATAAACGAAAGACCCAAAAAAGAGCATAATGTATGAGAAACATATACTTAGTTTAAAAATAAGTGCACAATTGTGATGTTTCCCCTTCTGCGCTAAGGAAAAGTTGTAATTTGTGAAATTAGTTGAATGGATATTGCGGAAAGGTTATAAACAACTGGACGTTTTACTACTGCAAAATCGTGCAATATAAATGCAGACCAAACCACTAAAATACTCGATTAAATAGTGACCCCCGTCGCTATTTTGGAAATTATGTTCATCTCGCGTGGGCGACTTTATGGACAACTAAATTTTATAAGAGTTTATTTGCAGCTACACCCATTGATACATTCTTAAAAAATAAAAGGTCATACGATTTTCAAGGAAGATTAGATTATAGTGGCGTTTTAATACCAACATAAAAGTTAATTACTATATAACGTTAAATAGAGATTTTTCTAAAAATTGTTGTCGAAATGGCAAGGTTATTACCCACACGTTTGTTTTGCAATTACACTAATACTCTGAAATACTTTACCATCGATTGTTATTTAAATAGATGCCAGTTAAACACGTAATTTTTGTCCCTGATGCTAATTTTCCACGCAAATTTCACCGTTTATGTATAAACATCTGGTTTTGGCCTCCATTGCTTCATTTCTGAAAGCGCATTTGTGCACTAAATATAGGGCGATTAGTCAGTCCGATAAGAAAAAAAGTAGCAACCTGCATTTAGTGCCATAAATAAAATAGTCACATTTTTCACTGTCCATATGAATAATTTTATGATCGACTCGAAAACCTTACCTCGCTCTACTTTTATTTGCTATAATACCTCAACTTCGCATTCACAAAAAGTGGCAATTCTCTTGCATTGATGGTTTCGATGTCGTTAATCGCGTGAGAAAATCATTAGACGAAATTACGTAGGTAACGCATTATTATAGTGGTGTAATCATGTATAACAACATTGCGTTCTTCCATTTTCTGTCCAGTTGAATATTTTTTCATGGTTTCTGGAGCATTTGTGGGGATTAGCGCGCGTGTTTGAGTGGAAAGTAATTTCCCTCTCTATCGGATTAATGTTACATATATTGGACACTGCCTAAAATTGTTTAAAGAAGGGAGTCCAATTGAAAAAGTGAAAGTGATTAATCTCGTCTTACTTTTCCACGCTACTAGTTTTAATTATTTCTCAGAATTTGATGATACTATTATTGGAATAGGTACTTAATTGAGGATGAGCACTTTTTTTAAGTTAATTTCAGGCTATTAATTTTAAGATGTCTTAGATGCCAGTATCCATCAACCGTAGGAGTTTCCCCTAAAAGTAACTTTGCAATTATTTCACAATAAATATCACTAGCCCTTAATTTAAAGGGTACCTAATAACAAAATGATTTATCTGCTTGTACTACGAAACGAAGCTTAAATAAAAAAATCACGTCTGATTCCCACCCTATTTACAAATACAGGT